GAGCAGGCCCCGGGAGCGGCCTGGGCCCTGACTTGAAGGATAGTTCTTCCGTCTGTTGTCATGAATACAATCACGAAACTATCGTTCTCGCTTGTGGCAGCAAGACTATCTTTTCCTTTGGCGTAAGCGTCCGGCTATCCGTCCATTGGTCTTTATAGCTCGGCAGAAGGGACCCTCTGATCCCGCCTACCTGGTAATCAGCTCTGATTGTGGGATTCGATTAGGGAAGTCCTTGTTGGACCCATAGCTAGTCGACGCCTAATGAGGTGCACGGGCAAGGAGATTGGGCACGCTGGTCGCGGTGGTTTTCTTCGCGAGCAGATTCCGCAGTTATGGGGGCCGGTCGTGTCTTTGACAAGAACCATTTTTCAGTTGTGGTTTGCCTCTTTCCCTCCCCGATCGCTCAGTCCCTGAGTAGCTGGGTCTGTCGCTCACCCCCAACACACGGTTTGGACGTGACCCACGCGCGACCCGTTCCCCAGTGGCTAAGTTCGACTTGCTCGGAGCGGGACGGGTCGGAGGTAATCTCGCTAAAAGTCATCGGGCCGATTCCGGCGCTCGTTGAATCTGCTCCTTGGTCGCCTCGGGGACGAGCTTTCTGAGCTTTTTTTCGAGGGGGGAGCTGGAGGTCATGATCCATCTTGCATCCTCCGCTTTTTCTATGGACGGCCGTCTCCTCCGGTATCAGCTCCAACAGCGAGGGAACTGTGTACCGAGGTTCGGGTTGGAGATTTTCCCACCGATGGGAAATCAATCCGGGACCGGATTGCCCGGCGGGACGACGCTCGAAGTTCCTGCAGTTCGTCGCGGCGCCCAAAGTGCTCCCGCCGCCTACGAGCGATGAGCCGTTGAGTTGCTCACCGATTTTGGAAAAACTACCTTGGAGACACGGCTTGGGGTGGCTTCGGGAGGGAGAATCGCGCTCTCAGTCTCCGCCTCCCATATTTGTTGGGAATGGAATTCCTGGCAGAAGCCCTGCCCGAAAGCAGCAGGACCTCCCGAGAGGACAGTGTCGAGCCTGTTGCCCGACATAGACATGGAGCGGAAGGATTGTCGCAGCCGCTGAGATAAATTCCGTGATGAGCGGGTGCTGTTGGCGTGTTGGTGCGTTGGCTGTCGCTCCGCGTAGCGACAAACCTCCAACCCGCACGGGATCGCGACCACCATCAGCTCAACGATATCTCTTCGATTTATCTGAGGGAGGCCAGCGACACCGTTCTCTCTACGAGGGAAAAACGAAAGAAAAAAGGAGGAGAAGCCAAAGACTTGAGAAAGCAAAGTTGGAGTCCGACCGGGCCAGGACTCCTTTGTTGTTTCTTGTTGTCCACGCTCCCGTTGCTGCTTCTTTTAGCCTCGAGGGAGTTGTGCGACTGCGGATCTCCAATCCGGCAATGGCTCTCCCAGCCCCACCACGGATGTTCGTGCACGCCTCCCGCTTGTCCTTTCATCACCGACAAACGGTGGCTCGATGTCATCGCCAGCTTTTGTACCTTTGTGCTCCGCTGGTGCGGGACTGCACTTTCTATTCACAGAATAGTTCTCTTGGTCCGATCTTTGCTCTACTATTCCTTTCCTCGGATGAATGCTCTCGTGTTCATGGAAATCGATGATCAGTTGGACGAAGACACCTCATCCACCAGAGACGACGGCCAGGGATAATCCCGCGTCGGACGGTCGCTCGCTATGGAACACCCGGCCCCGCTGGAGGAAGCCTTGCCGCACCAAGCGCTCTTCGATTCGTAGAAAAGGAAATTTCATCCGAAATCCGGTCGAGTCTCGCCCCGATCCCGGAGCGAATTCAAACGAGCTCTACGAGTATCTAACGATGTTCATCAGTGTTCCTAAAAACTTCGAAGGTTCCCGCCGGGCCGTCACCCTGATTCATTTCCGCGAGACTCGCAATCACACACATGCTGAGCACAAAGCATTTCGCGCTAGACGTTTCGGGCTCGCTCGAGCAGTGGTAGACCAACGGAGCGTTTGTAGCAGAACGATAAGCGGAAACGCTTGGAGAGAACCTACGCGTTGAATCTCGAGGTCGGCTCTCTTCTTCGTCTTCCCTAAATTGAACTTCGTTGTGGTAATTTGCCTCTTGGGAGGTGGAACGAGGCCGCTATGTAGCGTCCAGCTGCTCCAAGGCGATAGAATGTGCCCGCTGGGAGCGCTCCACATTTCTTTCGTTCTATTTGGCTTTTTTTTCATTAGAACCCGAGCAGGAATTCTCTTCAGGCGACTGTCTCGACCCGTATTCCATAGAAAAACACTTGATTCGAGCCCGATCCGTACATATTCTCAAAACTTCAGGAATAACTTGTCCAATCGAATCCTATGCGCACGGTGCCTCTCTTCCGGCGTTGCGGTTGGGTGAAGCCGACCGGCGCGGCGGGAAAACAAATTAGAACTGGTTCGGGCTGCTCAGGGAACGAAGATTCCGGAACTCGGCCGGGGTCCGTCCCGGCAGAGAGCACCTCGGTAAAGGAGGACTTTATCCGAAATCGTTCGATTGCTGTCTGTCAAAGTTTAGCCGGCCTGGGAACGCGCGCCCGGCTGAGCTGGCTTTCCTTGTACGAGGGGAGCCCGACCCCTATCGCTTGTCTAAATCCGTGTTTCGCTCCACTTCAAAGCGCAGTGGGTGCGGCTGACACTTTTAAGTGAGATGGGTCGCTGCAGCGCCAACAACAGTCGGCCCCGTCCCCGCAAGACGCGTCTCAACATCCCCATCGGCTCGGCTCCCACCTCTCCATCCGTCTTTGCGTTCATCCACGGAAAAGCACCTCGACAAGCAGACAGGCGAGTGAGCGAGTAAGCAAGCAAGCAAGCGAGCGGCAGGAGCAAATCCTTAAGCTTTTTGTGATGAGTTTGTTAAGCGCAGCGCCGCGCTCGACGAGCTCTTCGGGAGCTGATTAGCGACGCAATTCTGTTTTTCTCGCCCCCTGTCTCCCTCTCTCCGTCGTCCCGCGGGTGAAGTCCGACGCTCGAATCATCTGCCGTGTTGATGGCGCTACATCAGAGAGAGAATTCGATGCTACGTTGAGAACTTTGCAGGCTGCTATCTATTCGTTTATCTCCGTACTAGGATGAATGATGCACGAACGATAAACGTTTAGGCGCCGGCCCAGCCCTCCGTCACTAGGAGTATTGTTTTATTTGTCCAACGTTTCACCATTCATCGGGCGCCATGGACTTCCTTCATTAGGCCGAGACCAAAACGACAATGGTAGCAACAGCAGTATCGGACGGGAACGATATCGACAGGCGCAGATTAACACGAAGATCGCATCGACGGATTTTTGCCGAAACCATTCATAGACAGCTCTGTCGTCGCTCACCGCTGCTCCCGAGTTCTGTTTGTCTCGTTCAGTGCCTCTTCCTCGAACACCGGTCTCGGGGGTAGTTGCGATCGATGTTTCGATTTCTGTTCGGGAATTGAAGTGACGGGATTTTCTCGGGGCTAGCGCCGGAGCTCCCAAGAGATCGGGGATGGAGGAATGCGTGATCGTTGCCCTTTATTGAAGACCCGAGGATGGAGACAAATGAGAAATCCCCACAGCTCGATTTCGTAATTCAGTGCGGGCAATGTGATCACTGATTACCGAGTATACGACGAATTTGCGACGCCGAAGCTTCTCGCACAGGTTCGATGAACTTCTCCGCTACATATGAATGGCTTCGAGACATTTCAGCGGGAATCAGGACGGAAATCATTCCGGTCCTTCTTCATCCCCTTTCCCTTCCTAATAAATGATGAAGACACCACTCTCGTCCTATCTATCTGTAAGCGTCCCAAGTTCCTCCCAAATGTGCTCTCTTGACGAGAGGCTCGTAAATCTGTGTGGGGGAGCTGTGGAATCGGTCTCGAGCGCTCCGAACTCACCTCGCTCCGGCGAATGATCCCCATTTCTCGGAGGATTCCCCGAGTCTCGACCGGTTAGATAAACAGCATTATATTACTCATCTTCGAGGAGATCAGCGATCAAACAGGCGAAGGGACTCGAGTGTATCTATTCAGGGCTCCTTGAGATGACTCTTCCCGATCTCGCAACTGGGTCTTCGAGTCAATAGATTATCCAGATCGCTTCGGGGATAGGATATATCTTAGATGCGGCGTTTCCCGGACCCGTATGGAATGTTGGTATACCGTCACCAATGCTGTTCGCACAATCGCTATCTTCGGCCTTGCGGTGACGGCTACCCGATTCGGAACGTCGGCGTCGTACGATCATGGGACCCACTCCGTGGGCATATCGCAGACCAGTCCGCGCAGGTGGGGCGCTGATAAATCGCTCGGGACCCAAAGAGCTGCGTCGCTCCGGATTTCGCTCGGTACGAAGAGATCAAGTATCTGTGCTGATGATGCCTGTCATATGATGCGAGGGTGTCATGCAAATAAGCATTGAAGAAAACGCCGAAACCGGCCGCAGTATTCGCGAAAGGGGAATCCGACCCGGGACTGGGAGTACTGATAGAATTTTCTCCTTGCAGAATCGGAAACCCATGACATAATTGCTGATGTAACAGACGGTGCCATGTGACAGCGGAAAAGTCTCGCATTGAACTTCAAATTCCGCGTCAACATTGGACATGCATCCGAACGACTGACACAAGAGCGAGTGGAACAAGTGGAGTAATCCGTTTGGGGGAAGCACCGTTATGAGAGGGGAGGGATGTAAACAGTGAACACGTTGTTATTGGGGCGAGACTCTCTCGTCAGGTTCCTCGGAGGAAAAAAGAGATTCGATCCCGACCAGGGAAGCCGGGCCGAACTCTCCACGGGATATTCCATCGGAATAGAATACGCCGCACACAGAGACAGCGCGCGTGCTGCTCCGCTCGAAGAGAAAGACCCGTAAGAAGTGAGGCGGCCTCTCTAGCAGACGACACCGAGTTCGGGAGGAGCGCTGTGTGGCTCGAGCTGTTATTGTTGTGCTTCTTGATGCATCCGAGTCTTAAGACGTCCAGAAAGAATCTGGCTCGCTGATTGGGCGACTCGGCGATCGTTTGCGAGCTCGCTCGCTCAGCTACTTGGCTCTCTTCCACCAACACAACAGTTTCGGCCGGGCATTTACGCAGACTCGTGCAGTCGTTTTTACCAAAGCAAAAACCACAACAAAGTTTACTTGGATAACGTGTGTCGACCCGCGACAGTGAATAACCCCAGAGAAAACTGTATTTCGGCGAATCAAGTTCGCATCTGCGACACTTGTCGCTTCTACTGTCGGTGCCATGGATTATTTTGGCTCAGGACGCGTCAAACTGGCGCTAATATTCCTGACCCTCACTGCAAACTTCCAAGGTGAGCTCTTGTTGGTAATTCGAATAATCGATTGTCATTCCCATTGCCGCACAAGACGGAGTCGGTTGACTTCTCGAATGCAAAATTCGGAGCGAAAAGTTTTTGACTGAGACATTCAAAGGAAAACAAAAATCCCCGCTCCTAGTCTCGCAGGCTTGGCGATCGCTTGGTGGACATTGCGGGAGCGAATCATTATCCCATAGTCTCGAGAGATCGTAGGCCGGGACGGACGACGGACGCAATCGTGATCTTTCATATGACATGGATATACTCGGATTGGTCGTCAAACTGAAATTCCGATCCCGCGTCTCGAAAGTCATCGAGAGGATATCCGATTCGGACCTTGATCTGCGCGAACTTTTTCCGGCGAACCCTCCTCGTAAAGTTCGCAAAACTTTTGAGTGATAGTCTTAACAGGCTAGAAATGTACTCTGGCTAGGAGTTATTTTTGTCGGAGAGCTCAACCGAGGTAAGGGCCGCATCCTCGAGGCTCTAGCCGAGTAGGGCCGAAACGATCCTCTCGAACATCGTGTTGAACTCTGAGCTCAGAGGAAATTTGAAACGATGCGACTTCTTTCGCCGATACACCCTTCGTGGGCCGCTTCGAGCGAGGCGGCGTCGGTTTTCACTGTATCGCGACAATGATCGGAGCGAAAAAAAAACAAATCACGGCGAGAGGCGCCAATGTTGTCAGAATCCTACCGACCATAAGCTTCGATGTTGGGGCCACGAAAGCTCGTCGAAGCGTTACTTTGTTCCCCGTATCTGCTGACACTTGTTGACATCGAGAGCATGTCCTGCCTTGATTCCGCAAAGAAAGATGCGGGGCGCTTCGTTTTTGAATTTCCGGCAGCGAGTTGTTAACGACTCACCTGAATCCATCGGTTGCCGAGGTTCCGCATCACGGAATATACTCGATACATCCGGACTATCGTTATGGAATTCCACCAAGAGCTCTCGAGGATAGTTTATGCGATCGGGGAGATATTTCCGGAGGATCGACGTAAGAAGAAGTGCTGAATCCGATTACGCAAGTAGGCTGATCGGCGGATATCGCTCTGGGTAGCCGGACCGAAACTTCGGAGCTCAGCCTTCTGAAAAACGGAGCTCGAGTCCTAATTGAGACCTCACCTTCCTGGGATTGGGAAGTCGGTGAGAGGAAGCTGCGCGAATCGATCGTGTTCTCGCTTTTCATGCTGTTGAATTGTGTCACACCGCGAACTTCGACCTCCGGCTCGAGAAACCTGCGTGGCGTTCCTCCACAGGAAGTCCATTCCGGGTTGAACGTTTCCTCGAATATTTCCATGCGGAACCATTCGTCGGGAGTCATCTGGACGCCCTTTAAGCGGTTTCCTTTCTCGAGTATTGTGATTGCACAAGTTTTTTATGTTGGAGCATACCACGGAGGCGCTTCCCGTCGTCTCTCATCTTTTTGTTTAGTTTTTTCCCTTTGAATGGCGTCACACGCTTGTTACTGATGGCAATCAGAACTCGGAGAAGAAGTCGGCGACCGTAAGCTGACACTCCAGCAGAGCCGAAATCCCGAGATGCGCCTATGCGATTCATTCGGCAGAAACATTCTCCGTCATTGATGGAGATGATTAAATTCACTCGGAGGAGTTTCTCTGTCCTCGAAAATTAAGTATCGAAAGAATCATTCCTGACGGCGAAGCATCCTTCCTCCTTGGTACCATCGCATCAAGTCGTAGTGTTGTCGTTTGGAAAACTCGCGATGGCCCAATAGTATCGTTCGATGTAGAACGAGTTCCTTTGGTACCGTCGATTTTCCGCAAAACTCAACAAGAGAAAATTTCAGCTCCCGAAGCGTATCGTCTGGAGTGCTATTGTGACGGCCATTGCCCCGAAGGAACGAAGAATGGCTCGTGTACGATATACACGCAAGGTGGAATGTGTTGGACTCACGTGGAAGAGGTGTTGAACGAAGCAACGCATAAAGTCGAGCTCGAATACACTTACGGCTGCTCCGAAGAAGATAAGGCGCTGCTCACATGCAAGAGCCATTTGTTGGAACACAAGGTGAGTCTCTAGAGACAAGAGAGTGAGAACATTGTGCACACGCCCCTGGATTGGGAACTCCTCCGGGAGGCATTGGCTGCGGTCCTTCCCATCCACATGGTTCTGTCATTCCGATACTTTCTGTAAGCGGATCGGATTCAGAAGGTTTTTTTTATTCACATCAGGTCCCCCAGAACATTGAGTGCTGTCGAAACGAGCCGTACTGCAACAAGCCCCTGAAACCGAAGATGGCTTCCCCACAAGACGTGGAGGAAGCAGTCTACAGAGACTATACCAGCCTCGTGGTGTTCATCGCGGCTTTGCTCATGTGCTCGGCTTTGTCTCTCGGTCTTTCTCTATTATACTACCGTCGGAGGCGCAAGCGTCTCGAAACTTCAGAAGATGAGAGTTTCCTGCCGACAGGTGTCAAATCCCTCCAAGAATTGATGGATTGCAGCATCACGAGCGGCAGTGGATCGGGATTCCCGAAAATGGTTCAGAGAACCGTTGCACGTCAGGTGGAGCTCAAATGCCCAATAGGCAAAGGTCGCTATGGCGAGGTGTACAAGGCGACGCTGAATTGCGACTACGTCGCGTGCAAGGTGTTCTACACCACCGAAGAAGCTTCCTGGAGTCGCGAGACTGAGATCTACCAGACGAATCTCCTGCGCCACGACCATATCCTGGGCTTCATCGCCGCGGACATCCGAGGAACAGGTGGCTGGACTCAGTTGCTGCTCATCACAACGTACCAGGAGAACGGATCTCTGTACGATTATCTAACGAACAACACGCTCGACGAAGATCAAGCCGTTGAGATGGCGTTGTCAGCATCCAGCGGGATCTGTCATCTACACACCGAAATTCTCGGGAAACAGGCCAAGCCGGCTATAGCTCACCGGGACATAAAGTCCAAGAACATTCTGGTGAGTTTCTTGTCGTTTTGTCCGGAAGAAGCGTTAATTCAACACTTTTTGGACGAATCCCGCTCGCCAGACTCGCCTGAAATGATTCTCTGACTTGTCCTGCACGCGTTTGCCAGACATGAGCGTGTTAATTTATTATTTCCCCCGATTCCAGGTCAAACGCGATGGTACATGCTGTATCGCTGATTTCGGACTGGCCGTTCGCTTCAATAAGACCACGAATCAAATCGACATTGGGCCCCACAACACCCGAGTCGGAACTGTTCGCTACATGGCGCCCGAAGTCCTGGACGAAACTCTCAAGACCGAGAATTTCAATTCCTATTGCCAGGCAGACATGTATAGTTTCGGGCTGGTCCTTTGGGAGATCACGTCACGAATCGTGCGCGACGGCGTGGCCGACCCTTACCGAATTCCCTACCACGATGCCGTTGGTAACGATCCATCTTTCGATCAGATGAAGAAAGTCGTTTGCATATCGCAAATCCGACCAGAAATCCCCAAAGAGTGGGAGAAACACGAAACGACGATGAGCTTGGTCCGGATATTCAGAGAACTGTGGTCGCATAATCCCTCCAGTAGACTCACCGCACTTCGAGTGAAGAAGTCCTTGACGAAGCTGGAGAATGACGTCGTTGCCAAGCGTTACAACCAAACCGAAAACGTCTAGTATGAGCTGCAGACCGTAGGTGACAGCAATTATTTGTGTAATATTTATTTGAAGTATGAGTCGAGTCCTCCGAAACAGACGGGACAAGACGCGCCAGAATCGGCCGGAGCAGATCGTGCGCAGCGATCGTCGAAAAAGAAGAAGCGTAAGGTTAAGTCTTTTTAGGTTATGTTCAATGCAGTGGCCCAAACAATACGACGTTATTTAAATCATTATCAACCTTCGCTTCGATGAGATCAAGAATCCTCGGAGAAAGAGTGGCGTCTCTAATCGATCATGTTGTTTGGGCGCACTCTCTCGTTACAGTCGTTCGTGGAAGCATCGGCGCGGTTTGTCGGGCGAAAATCTGGCTCCCCCAGGAATTGAGAATCCCAGTCAGTTTATTTATTTGTTCGACGCTTTCGACGATTTCAAAATTGATTCTGGTCGAATGTCAATCGGAAACTTCAAATTAATCCTCTTTGATCGGAAGTTCTCGAACTTTTCATCATTGGGAGAAATCAGTTTTCGGGGTCGCCCGAGTTACGCCAACACATGCTCCATGTATTCCACCAACGAACATTTAAATACTACGGCTTGCAGCTCAAGTTTTAATTTGAAGTTTTCACAGTTTACACAATTGGACTGAATTGACTCGGCAAGAGACCAGGATCTGAATGGTGATTCGTGCTGGAACTTCGGTGCCACACAGTGACCATGTCTGGTGGCCTTAAACAATACTGAGTCGTGGTTTTTCATTCAGCGGCGCACGACGTGAAGTCGAGAGGAGAATTCCGAGAGCATCTTCTCGTTCTCGATCCATCTACGACTCAGGATTTCTCAAAGTATTTTCCGAGAAGTTCCGCAATGCACGAGCGAAGAAATTCGCTACTCACACCGGGAGACTCAATGGCGGCAATTTTTTACTCCGGGAGGTGGAATGTTAAGCATCGCATGGCCGAATTGCCCCGAATGCCGAACAGCCAAATTACGGCGAGTCGCTCCTATAAGCATTGAAGCGTGAGATATAGCTCCGGGAATACGCTATTCTTTTTGTAAATTCTTGATGGGACTTGACCTCGACCTGCAAAGATGTTATAGGCTCAGGTGACCGTCTCAGAGCTCCCGGAGCCTCCGCAAGGGCTGACGTTTCAACTTTTGCGATACTCAACGATGAGAATGGCCGACTGTCAGACAAATGTCATGATAGTTAATGGAAAAGCAATGGCCCTGTGTAAATATTGTGTCTATAACGCAGAAGCGCAGACAGGCAAGCTAAATTCCCCTCGTGCCATGGAATACTGTACATTAAAATCGACCACTATCTAGGGCATCTGTCCCGCAGTTGAATTAAGGGTCAATCAAATCAATCAATCAATCAATGAAATGAATCAATCAATCAATCAATCAATGCTTAGATATCCAGCTTGGCGAAATAAAATGACAGTGTACATAAAGCGACTTCACTCATGAAAATGAACTCGAACATATTTCGCAAAAATATGTGTCTGCTGCTTTTTCGGACTGGGAATCCAATATCAATCCCCCCCCCTGCGACAGCGATGGCCCAACGAAACGGGAAACCACTGGAGGCGTCGGGAACGTCAACGTTTCAGCATCTGGATCACAGTTTATATCCGCCTTTCGATGAACCGATGGCACAGTCTGTCTCTTTTGTAGCATCATCGGAAAATGGTTCCGACCAAGATGAAGGCCACCGGGCGCCGGGAGCTCTCCAAGGCTTCATGATCCCAAATCGAAGAGATAGGATCTGCGGTACAGGAGTCGGCGTGGGCGTTGTCTTCAGAAACTTAATCGGAAATTCTCCCGGACTGAGAGCTCGAGACTCGCTCGTTTGTCTTTAACCGCGCCGTCGAGATCTGACCTGAGTGTTGCTCTGCCACCAAGAGATGTCTGAGTGCCGCACCCAATCAGAGGTTCAGTCGGTCTCACAATGTCGCATCTGTAATATTCATCGATGGGAGGTTCATCTACCTGGCAGGGCAGGCAAAGCGGTCCCAATTAAGTCCGGAAGACCGAAAGGACCACAGAAATTCATCGACATTATTTGAGACCTAATGAATATGTTCGCAAACTAGATTGGAGCCCGATCCATCTCGGTATGCTAGGGTATTCATTTTTTATTTAGCGGCAGTGAATTCTGAAGTCTCTCGAGAAGGAACCAACCGGGCCCGAATCGGCTCAGCGAGCGGAATGACGCGAGCGAGAGCTTGAGATCTCCGATGGCTACCGTCAACTCTCTCGAAACGTGCGGTGGGGAAATGAAGAGGCTTCGGTATCGAGAAAAGTCCTGAGATCATTTACTATTTACTCCATCACGATGGATTCCTCTTAGTACAAGGCTCGCGCTCTCAGCGAGCAACGCCTCTGGTGAGTGCACTTAGCGCGCCCTCTAGGGTATCTCTCAGGGAGTCGTCTTCCGGAAGGGGTTCTCGCATCTCATGGAGTAGTTGAAATGTGCACTCGCTCACAGCGGAATCTGGAAATAAGCGAAACGACGTGAAGTGGAATCACTCATTCGGCGATCCTCACTACGTCTACATAGAGCCTGCGAGAGTGGCACGCACCGTCGAGCAGCAGATGCCTTCCTTTGTCCGTAAGACTTGCGAGGAAAGAGTACGGCAGACAGAGCAGCTGGTATCTTTCGGCTCGAGTGCTGTCGTCGGGTAGACTTGCGAGGAAAGCTTTGAGTAGGCAGACGAAATCATCTACACACAAATCGAGCAGGGGCGCGAATTGCGTTTCGCACTCGAGTGTATAGAGAATATGCCAGTAGCTTCGCAGGACGTCATTTCGGGATCTGAAGAGAGTATCGAAATCAATCCGCAAGCCCGAATCGGCTACAGGGACGACGAGAATCAGAGTATAGCTAGACGTAGATACCGACAGAAATTGCATTGCAGCCGAAGTGAGAGCCCTCACGAATTCCAAGTTCGCGGTCGCGAGTTTGACCGAGGAATGCGTGTCCACGATCCGGTGGACCAATCTCAAAGTGGAACTCAACAGATCACCTGCAAATACCCGCCACAAGATCAATGAAAGCTCCGGAGTATCTCATCGAGGTCAAGTCGCGGAATCCGTGCGGGGCTCTCTATAGCCTCGAGACAGGAGGCCCACCCACCGTTCATAGAATTGCAGAGGATGTGCTGGAGGTGATCGACTGTAGGCGCCAAATTATCACGAATGCTGTCGATCCATATCGCTGAAGCGGATCTGTGCGCTAGGCAAGTCTGTAGCAGCCTGCATAGTTGTAGAAGTGTCGGGACATCGGTGCTCCCCAATAGCCACAGACAGACGCGGCTGGAAATCGATGAAAAATATTGAAGAGATGATTCGAGCATATAATGGAACCACCGAGAAGATCCCGAGCGGGCGATGGACAGCGGGACCTCAGCTTTTTGAGAACTCACACCAAGCAATCCGTTTTCGATACCGGTTCACAAATTTCTTCGAAGGTGCACATGTTTCCGAGGATTCCGACGAGAATTTCCACGAGCCGAGGGGATTTTGTCGGAGAGATGAGACCGACGAAGAGCGTCGGTGTGTCGAATTCCAGGAGGAAGGCCGATACCTCCTAGAAATCCATTCCATAAGTAATTTTCAAACATTCGAAATCGAACTACCTCCGACTCGAATCTAGGGCGGTTATGCCCGGCTCCGTCGCCTTGTTCGTGATAATTTCGACAATGGTCATCGCTGCGATACAACCGTCGCGGCCGTCTCATAAATTCACGGATTCTGCCGACTTTCTGGGAAAATATTGGGCGACAACTCCGGATCACGAAGCTGCTCTCGACCACAAAGATCCGGGCCCGGTTAGCTTCAGATTCATCGACGGCTCTCCAGAGCGGTCAAGGTGCAACAATTCTCAGGCCCGTGACGCAGACAGTCCCGCACCGAACGCTGACGCGGTCGTCAATCGAGAACTAGGACGCTTCTCTGATTTGTACATCTCCTGGAACTCGCCTGATTCGCAGATATATCCCACAGGATACACAATCGTTCCTCGATGTCTTCACTGAGATTCACCATCTCCGCGTCACCATCCTCGTCTCTCCGTGGCTGAGGTCCCTCCTCGACGGTCTGAAGGGGGTCGAGCAGTTGAAGCAAATGTCTGCTCATGAGAATGATCGACTCCAGTCGAATGATCTCCTCCCTACTGGCTCCCAAGAATCATACATACTTTAATTGTGTCCATCAGGATTTGGAATAGCCAAGATTTTGAAAACGTCGTGTCTCCGATTGTGGTTTCACTCGCGAACTCTTCGAGACCCGGCGGGGGGCTAGGATTCCGCCCTGGGAAATCGGAATAAAAATTTCAGGATTGAAGGAACTCATTCCGCCACCGAAATCAGCTGTTCAGTGCCGGGCGTGAGGTACAGAACTCACTATCGTCTTCATCCATTCCGATGATTGCTCGTCAAGATGGAGAACTTCGTGATCCAAGGTCTTCTAGCCACACGATTGTTGATCGACCGAAAGCACAACGAAAGTAACGTAGCGAGGGTGAATTTCAACTCCTTGCACCGGAGTCTCAGTGCTGCCTGTGAGTTCGAATTCAACGACGCTCGTGGCGCTAGATTCGAAAAGGGGCCAGGGAGTCCATTCTACGACGGCACGCGCGAGCTCGAGTTCTGAAGCAGCGAAACTGAGAAAATCAGATCGCGGAATCGATTTGCGATCGATTGGTTCCAATCTTGTATAGATGTTGGTCGCTCGGAGCAGTTCCGAGGATTTACCTTGATCCCGGTCCGCAGCGCGGGGCTGCCGATCATAACGTCTCCTCGACATCGTGACGGCGGCCCGCTCTCAGGAACATATTTAAGAGAGCTGTCGAAGAGGCAAGTGCATCCATTCTCCTTGGGGATTTTACCGATCTCAACAGAAACTGGGTTGCTTCGTGACGGCGCGGCGCCCTGAAGTGAGCACTCCCGTAAGCTACGACAGGCGACCATAAGCCGGCATATCCCAAGTCATGATGTTGTGAGGCAGCCTACTCCGCAGTTGGGTTGCCGCCGGGGGCGACCGAAAGAGCTAGCGGGGGAGTGTCTCAGTTCAGCTGGATGGTTGAACGAGGGGCGGCCTGGAGGTCGACGCATACAATGCTCGAGGCACCGACGTATTAGGAATCCATTCTCATCGGGAGTTGTTTGCCGTCGAGACGAAACCTGACTCCCTTCCCGAAGGAATCCCGACGTGGAAGATGAACTCTGGAGCTCTGTGGGACTCCTCCCGCTCGTATTGTGATATCGATTCTCGAACCTGCATAGATCATTTCAGGCTTCGGATGTCCGTCAGCGTTTTCTTGAGGATTCAAGAGGCTTCGGTCGATCCATTGGTATCCAACTCAGTCTTAAACACGGATTAGGATTCCCGGTATCGAGGAGCTTGTATAGGCAAGTGTACTCTATAGGAAAATAATATTCGGTCGAAGGTGGCCTCAAACTTGGAACACAGAGGAGAAAGCCCTGGACACGACTAGCAGGATTTTTCGCGGTGCCAACCTACATGATAGGGGATGCGCGACGGGGAAGAATGACGGCGAAGGCTCAGACAGGTTTCTTTACGTAAGAAACAACGCTTTATTCAATGATGATCATTCCTTGTTCTCGGATGACGAAGATGCTGCTGTCGCAGCTTTCTCCTCCCCTTCTTTTTTATAATGTCTGTACTCCGGTTTGAGCTCCCACATATTCCGGTGAGGGTTCTTTACATTGTAATTACAAACTTCTTTCAAAAGCTCCTTGAGGAAGGGTGCTGGTTGCTTCGTAATTCTTTCGAGATCCTGGAAATGAGTTCGTATCTTTGCTAAGTAAAGGAAGGTGAATTTAGAGGTCAGTGAACGAATCGTGCGATAAGATTTCCCCCGCGGTTCCCCAACGGAACCATGCGCAGGGCTCACCTTTATATTGTAGTACTGATGCTTTTCGAATGCTGCGAAAAGCATTTCGAGAACCTGGTCGCGGTCGCCACGAGCTTTCTTGCCTTCGTTCTTTTTCCGGGCTTCGTATTCGACTTGATGCACGTGTCGAGCTACAGGTTTGAAATTCTGCACGACTCTTTCGAGACCAATCGCAGCTCTTTTCGGTTGGCTCGCTTCCATGATTTTCCGACGCTTTAGGTCCATGTAATGAATGTCGTTCCCAATGGGACGGCATTCACCTTTCTGTACGATTGAGCCCTCTAAGCAGATCTTTCCTTGACCGCATTCGATACCGTCTTCATTCACAGCTTTGGGCTGCGAATAGACTGCGAGACTTTGCTGTTGAATATTGGAGATGACAAATTTATGGTCGGTGGGAATTTTTTCTTCTTCGGCAACGTTGGAGAGCTTGAACGTGATGTCGTTTGTTCCGTTAGGTTGTCTCGAGATTTTTATACGCCCCGCCTCGCTTAAGGGAGCGGCCTTCTTCCATTTTTCTGCGATGTACTTCGGAACCTGCGAGAATCAGGGTCAGGTGTTAGAGCGCCTCTTTCGGATAGAGGAATCGTTCGCACCGGAAAAGGGCGATTCCTCCCCGGGACAAGTTTCGGAGCCCCTCACCTTGACAAGCCATACACCTCTGCACGCATTGGAACAGTCAACGTCTCGATCGCCACCTTCAGACGCCATTCTCATTCGTTCGCGGCTATGGCTATCTGAAACGATAAATGAGTTTATCCCCTGGTAGGTCGGCTCGCCGGCGCCTGGCTCCGGAATACTAACTAAGGGGGTTTGCACACTTCATGACATGCCTCTCTGGTTCGCAAAATATTTGCGTAAGGATTATTCGTATTGACTGACTTTCCTCTTGGAAGAACAAGAAACGATTCCGGATCTACGGGGAGACCATACGAGTCTATCCACGGCACGTGAACGAGGAGCCAACCTTTTTATGTCCGGCGAATTCGAACCCCGAGCTTTTTCAGGTGCCGCTGCAGAGGTGTTGGGGAATCGATTCACAGAAGCCGGGCGCCCCTACTTTCACTTCCGGGAGGATCTGTCCCAGACTGCGATCATGGCTCCGCTCATTCCATTTTTCAGAGTGCAGCTGGCGACACTTTCTCATCGACTACAATGATCCTGACGATGGGAGCAAGCTGCTGCTCGGATATCGTCTGCTCGAGAGAAGGAGTGCGGCCACCACACCACCGGATGCCGAATGGTAGGATACAATATGGCCGCTGGCGGAGTTTTCTTTCTCGAGAGAGTGTAGGCATGAGAGCAGCGGGCTCGCGTAGGGAGAACGAAGAACGACGCCATCATCCGCAGAGGGGATAAGTTCGGGAAGAAACGGAGAGGAGAAGCGGCAGCGCACCGAGACGAAGACTGATTTTCCAGGAGATCAACATGGGCTTTCAGATCTCGGGTCGTCCCGGCAAGCGGGTTTCTTCGCTGGGATATCTTTGTAGGAAGAGGGAAGACGAGCATAACCGTTTTGTGGGGACCTAGGGAAGAAGCTCCGGTCTCGACTCATGACTTCGGAGCAATGAGGGAGTCTCTCAAGTGTTCTCCAGTGTACCCAACGCCTGCAACGAGAGTCTCCTAAACGGGTGAAATCACTTCCTGAGGCAGTGGTTCTCACCTGGGCTCCCATGGCTCCCTAGTCGACGCAGAGGAGAAAAAAACTCTAGGAAGGAGCACGAATTGGTATCCCGACCCCTATCGCGCTGTCATCAGGCTTAAGCCATCCACAGCAAGGATTCAGAAATCGGAGGCATCTCGACGCATTGATCCTCCGCGGTGCGAGGTACGACGAAGTTCCGGGTCAACACGAGCCGCTATTCGACAGGAAACTTGAAGATCCGGCTAATGGACGAAATCGCTCGATCGCGCAGAAAGTTTCAGAAAAAAATCATCAGCATCATCAACAGTACACTCTCTCGTCTCTCTCCCGTCGGCGGATTGAGCTTCTGTTCGTTCGATTTCAGCCCCGGTGCTCCGTGCACGATTCTACCCGAATCCGAGATTCGTCTCCGTTTCCGTAAACCGGTCGCGGTATCCACGGGAACGACGATCCTCCAAAGTTGTGGTAAATGGAGAAGTACCACATAGGAAATGTTGTTGAAGATGAAGTTCCGATACCTTTCCCAGAAGAGATAATCGGAAAGGACTACGCGATAATCGATGTGAGGATACACACCAAGCGTGAACTGACTGGATCGATTCCTGTCGCAGCCGGAATATATTCGAGATTTTTAAATCTTCCCTAAACCACAACCGTTCCGCAGGTGAGAACGGGCTCTAGGATCTTCAACTTGGTCAAATTCGCTCAGACTTCATTAGCAGCAAATACCAATCTTGTGATATCTGCATGTGGTCCTGCGATTACTAAAGCTGTGACAATCGCTGAAATCATCAAACGTAAACAGGAGAAAGTGTATCAGTGGAACAAGATCGGCTTCAGAGAGTAAGTTTCGCAACTTGAGAGCGAACTTTCGCCGGCTCGAGCGAGCTCTGGCTCACCTTCCAATTCTTCCCCGCAGAATCAAGGAATTTTGGGATCCGAATGAAGCTGGGATGACGCGACTCCGAGTTACACGGGAACTCCCGACCATGCACATCTATCTGACAAAAACTCCTCTCGATGAGTCGTTACCCGGGGTCCAAGTTCCAAGAAGTAAAGACAGAAAAACAAAGCCCACCAAATCGAAGATGCACCGACCGGCTGAGCCTGCATCGAAAGGGAATCGAGGAGAGAAGAGATCCCGACGGAAATCAGCGACTCTCGCTGTAGACTCGAACAAGGCGGATGGTGCAGAAGGGAATAAGGAGCAATGAGACTGTGATTGTTGAGTTTTTTTGTACATAAGAGTTTTCCCCCATCGAGTAAAGCCGGGTACCTTCGAATATAATTGTTCGACTCACGACTTATTGTGATCGACTAAAGCGGATATTGTGGTGACTCCGGGCATCATGCGTCGGAAATCCAGTGTGAGAGTGTACAGATGTATATATCTAATCCCTGGAGAAATCTAATAATCAAAGAGCATGATTCAATAGGGCTAGATTTATTTACAGTCGATTAGCGGACAATTCATATATATATGGTTCTTATTATGTATGGGTGATGGCGATGGTTCCGTTTCCTACATCATCCATTCAGTGACTACCCCAATTATTGAGTTTGTTTCCGCTCCGCTCGTGAATTCAGGAAGACTTGGCTGTTCCGTCGAGCGTTTCTCGTAGTTCGCGGATCCTTACGGCACCGGATCAAGCTGTGCTCTCATCGGTTTGGCCCGGCATCGGGACGATAAGGTTTTCTTTCGACATCAAGTCGTATTTCGTGACGAAGACCGTAAAACGCCGACAGAGATGAGTTTGGTTCTCGAACAGGTCGAAAACGGATCGGTGATGATAGAAAGCGTGCGAGAAAATTCGATACACGCGTCGGCAGATCGAACCTAATTTTGCCACAGACGACTCTTTGATCGAAACCCTACTCGGGAAGTACTTGTTGCTGTTTAGTAAGCAAGCCGCTCCATCCAGAGTGTGTCTGGTGTAGTCGATCGCGGGGCATTCTCTCGGCGTTTTGTGGGCGGCGCACAGGAAGATCCATTGCTCGGTGGCAGTCATCTGCATGCAGGTCCCGGCGGTGCACTCGGCCTGGAGACGAACAGCGAGACCATTGAGCTCCATACAAAACTGTCGAAGATGTTCGTACTTCCAAACTCCTTCGTCTTGACAGTCCGGAGGCTTGAGGATAGCATCGACATTAGCTGGTTCTTTTCTAATCGTCTGTTGTATCAGCTGCTGCACGGCGAGAGTCGAGTCCATCTCCTCGAAAGGCTCATCCGGCCATCCGCAGAAATCCTGGGAAGAAAATCAAATCTCTCTTAGCTCGACTGGCAAACGAAATCGTCTTGACGGGGACTATCTCTCACTCACTCCGCTTCAGGACCGTCCTCGCGGTCGATCATCGAGCTTCTGAAGTCACTATCTCCTCGATCTATTAAGGTTGCCAGTTGGCTCCAATCTATCGAGTCGGGAGTCGGGAGACCGACATGATACCCCCCGGATTGTGGAGGGATGCGAGAAGCGGCTATCGTTTCGATTGCCAGGACGGAGAAGAGTCCGTCGGGATCACTCCCCAGGAATTCGACGCTTACCGTGGCTTTGGTCCCGGGTCGATTCCTGCGAGGCTCCGCAGGAGGAGGGGCTGTATCCGCGGCAGCCATCCAAAGAGTATCCCGCAGTCGAGATTAACGAGATCGGATTTGAACGGACTGTCAAAATCGTCTCTATCGTTCCGTCGGCGACAGTAGAGTGGAGTGGAGGAGAATGAGAGTATTCACGGCAACATCAACATCACACACATCGGGTGGACCTCCCGTCCGAGAGGAGAAGCTTCGCTCCCGCGTAGGTTCTCCGGATGTTCCGGAAGCGATTCCCCAACTTCGCTCTGGGAGATGACGCCGGACTAGAGCTGCGAAGTCGTCCGCTTTCTAGTTCCTCTGATCCATCTGCCGAAACCGTTACGATGCGGGGAGTCAGGCCCGAATTCCCTCCGTTGCTCACGGAAGCTTCTGTGGTGTGGAGGGTGATTCGGCCAGCGGTCTAGGAAAGACTTGGCGCGAACAGGGCTCTGAGCGCTTTAAATTCCTCAGTTTCTCGGTATCTATCGCTACCAGTGAAAGAGCTCAGGTTGGTAGACCCTAGATGATCCGTGGTAGTTCGAAAGCTGGTTTTCTCAGGGAAGGAGCTTCCATAGGGAGAAAGTCGCGGAACATCCGGCGATCCGTCGACAGGAGCCTTCCTCGTTTCAATAACATGGCGCCACCCAGAGCTCAACAGTATGACGTTTCATGCTGTGGAGTTATTTGAGTTCGCTGCTCGTCTACGAACTCAGGCGTCGTGATTAGCCGCGGCGCTTAGCATCGACGTGTCTCTGAGAGGAGTTCGTTGCTGTTGTCATTTGGAGAAACTTTCCCGATATTTTTCATGCGTGGATTCTAGCCATCCTCCTGTGTTATTACATTACACCGTTGTTGCGGAATCAAGTGCTTGTTGAGAATCTCCGAGCGAACCTTCCACCTATTTCGAGCCGGGAGATCCTGAGCAGAAGAGCCGAGAGCATGATTCAGCCGATCAAGGAGGCGCCGACGGTCGTTCGGGTGACGAAGTCACGTACAGAAATGAATTTGATCCGGCTCCTGAGTCGATGCGAGGCTCTCGTCGTGGAGAAGAAATTGTCCTGGAAGCTGGAGGCTTACGTCGAGAAACTAGATGAGCTCCTAAATAGCTTGGAAAAACAGAATACGATTCAGCCGAGCCTCGAGAGTATCAACGCTTACCAGAGGAAGATAAATTTCATCAAGGGCGCTATGCGAGTGGAAAAAGCCGAACCGGAGATGAAGCTAGTCGAGCAAACGAAGCTCAATCATTATCCCGATCGAGAAGTGCACCAGAGACAGGGGACGAAAGTTCATCGTGAACTTAGAGAGAACCTCTTCGGCAAGGAGAAAAAGAAACAAACGCAAGATGTCGACCAGATCCTGAGGGAGCACGAATCGACGAAGCAGAAAATCGCAGAGAGCATGGTGTCGATGGCACAAGACCTGAAGAGAAACGCGCAAACCGCGAAGCATATTATCGCCAAAGATACCGAGGTTGTCAAGAGGACTGTGCACTCGACCGATGAGAACTTTGGCAAACTTCAGAAAGAAACCGAGCGCCTTGAGAAAAAACTAAAATTTTCCTGTTCATGTCACTGTACAATGTGGATTATGCTCGTGATCGCCTGCATGGTTTTTCTGCAGATGGTCATGTTCATGCGCTTCTTTCCGAAAAGATATTGAACCCCCAGTGTACGTTCTAGGAACGATGGTGCGTGCAGAAAAAGATCTTCCCTGGGTTGAGAAATAGTGAGTCGCATTGGAGATCTTTACGAACTTATCTAATCGATTCATTCTCAGAGTATGATCCGCCGCGCAGAATCACTCCTTCTTGTCGATGGATTTTGAGGAACCTCCCTTTTCCTAATTTCAGTCGACCAAGAACCGTCGATGACGTAGCTTCCCAGGACGAGGTCGTGTCCGTCCTGAAAAAATGTCTTCAGTCTGGTGATCTTCCCCATTTGCTGTTCTTCGGTCCTCCGGGGACTGGTAAAACGTCGACAATCTTAGCTCTGGCGAGGGATCTCTATGGGAACGAATTTCGTCAGAAAGTTCTCGAGCTCAATGCGTCTGATGAAAGAGGAATTTCTGTGATAAGGGAAAAGGTAAGCGACAATGGAGCTTCGATATCTCGAAGTCCCCGACCGAGCAACCGACAATCATCGACGTGGGTCCACCGGAAGCAACTCACACTAACGCTCCTCGTCTTCTGCAGGTCAAAAACTTCTCCCAAATGACGGCGAATCAAGGGAAGATCCGTTATCGAATAGTGATTCTCGACGAGGCCGACAGTATGACCCGAGATGCTCAAACAGCGCTACGAAGAACTATGGAAAAATACACGAAGACAACCAGATTCTGTCTCATCTGCAACTACGTCACCAAAATCATCCCCCCACTCAACTCCCGTTGCTCCAAGTTCAGATTCCGGCCCCTGCCTACGGATGTTCTGGTCAATAAGCTCGATGAGATATGTACTAAGGAAAACGTCAACTTCAGAGGTAGCGACGACCTCAAGTTCTTGATCGAGCTCGCTGAGGGAGACATGAGGCGCGCCGTGACTCTCCTACAAAGTGCTCATAGGATAAGCGCCGAGAAAATCACTAGAGAAGATATTCGTGAGTTCCGCAGCCGTTCATTATACAGGGTGGTCATTTTTAGTCGGGACTTTTTTTCCCTCTGCTCGTCCCGGCCCTAACTTTTGAACGGCTGGATGAAACTACATGAAATAACCCACCGATCAACAGCTCTCGCCCTGACTGACACGATTCCGTCCCCAGCGGTGACGATTTCGGCCAGTATCACCTGTTGCGGGCGTTTTGGAAATGATCGGTCACTTTTTTCTCGTCGCTCCACGAAAACGCCTCTTTCTCGGCGACCGCTTGGTCGATCGGGCTCAACCTGGTTGCGTTCGACGCAGGACAACCTGGCGGAGGTATGCCATAAAAAAATTTCAGGTACCGTGTTCCTGGGGGAAACGCGGAAGGGGTAAACTTTGGTTTGAAAATTGGACAAATTTACCAAAATTCTGGGTTGTCGCTAAACTCAGTCGATAACTCCCCAGGGAAGCAGAATTCGAAAATTTTCATGATGGCTAAAAGTGCTTAAAAAGGGCCAATTCACCCGATCTGGGGGTCAGCGGCTTGATCCGACGACTTTTTTTTCCACGAAAATCGTCATCTCGAAATTCTCCTCGTGGAACGCGGAATACCGCTTGGGAGCGCTGATGTTGTGTTCAAGCGCGCGCTCCAGCCTCTCAGCATGCTTCCGAGCGATGGCGCTCTCGGATTTCCAACGGTCGGAATCCGCCGGCATCAGCCATTTTGAAAAGGGAAGAGCCGCGCGAGTCCTCTGTGCATCATTTCGCTGTCGAATTCGGGATCGCTGCAATCTGTGATACGCAACTGCCACAGCCGTGATCTCAGTGAATTCATTGTGTTCTCCGGACTCTCAAGTTGATATCTGCAAGATGGCTGAAGCCGGACCAAGCAGGAACCACCGTTGGGAAGAGATGATCTCCTGGGGCGTCTTACCCTCCACCCTACTGGCGAGGACCGCGTGGCGTTTCAACTCTTCCCTCACACTCTTCCCTCTTACTCTTCCTTTTTCAAAACGGCTGATTCCGGCGGATTCCGACCGTTGGAAATCCGAGAGCGCCATCGCTCGGAAGCATGCTGAGAGGCTGGAGCGTGCGCTTGAACACAACATCAGCGCTCCCAAGCGGTATTCCGCGTTCCACGAGGAGAATTTCGAGATGACGATTTTCGTAGGAAAAAAAAGTCGTCGGATCAAGCCGCTGACCCCCAGATCGGGTGAATTGGCCCTTTTTAAGCACTTTTAGCCATCATGAAAATTTTCGAATTCTGCTTCCCTGGGGAGTTATCGACTGAGTTTAGCGACAACCCAGAATTTTGGTAAATTTGTCCAATTTTCAAACCAAAGTTTACCCCTTCCGCGTTTCCCCCAGGAACATGGTACCTGAAATTTTTTTATGGCATACCTCCGCCAGGTTGTCCTGCGTCGAACGCAACCAGGTTGAGCCCGATCGACCAAGCGGTCGCCGAGAAAGAGGCGTTTTCGTGGAGCGACGAGAAAAAAGTGACCGATCATTTCCAAAACGCCCGCAACAGGTGATACTGGCCGAAATCGTCACCGCTGGGGACGGAATCGTGTCAGTCAGGGCGAGAGCTGTTGATTGGTGGGTTATTTCATATAGTTTCATCCAGCCGTTCCAATGTTAGGGCCGGGACGAGCAGAGGGAAAAAAAGTCCCGACTAAAAATGACCACCCTGTATTGCTTTGAATAAGATAAGCTTTGTTTGTCCGAGCGGGTTTCTGTCGGATAGCATGGAATTCGACGGGAGTCCGCTTCGGATAATTTGAAGAATTCAGCCTCGATTCTTAACCAGCGAGCATCCTCAGGGAACATCGCGGGAGTGATCCCAGATAATGTCGTCGAGCAGATCTACACGGAACCAGTTCTGGACCGCTTGACCAAACGAATGCGGGATTTCGTGCGCGAAGGTTATTCCGGAGATCAGCTCTTGACTCAACTACTGCAAATGATCATCGCCGACGAGCGGATTGAAGACACGAAGAGAGCGGCGCTCCTCGAGAAATTGGCTGTGAGTTGAGTTTCGCGCAATCTCTCGACTTCGACGGTCATCTGATGATCTCTGCATCGAGTTTTGAGGATCGCGTGATGGGCGCGGAGCAGCTGCTCGTAGGATTGAGGCGGAGCTCGACGCTTGATAATGCAAGGGAATAGCGCTCGGCAGACATTGTTATATCTTGTAGAGATCAATAATGGCTCATTTTCCATTTACAGATCGTCGAACACCGTATGAAAGATGGCGCTTCCGAATTGATTTCATTGCAAGACTTGGCCGCCACCATCGTCTCCTCACACTGAAATATCGTCCTGACGTGTGTACATTCAAACTGTCTCGACCCGATCGATCCAAGAGTTTCCGTTGACTCGATTCAGTGCCTGGAATAAAATATTTTTACCAGATCAAGTCCGAGCCTTGAAATCGCTCGGCTCCCGCCGTCGACTTCCATCTGAAATCGATTCACGCGAGCTCGGGTGAGCCTCAGCTCGATGATCCCAACTGACTCTAGCCTAGAACTTTCCCTTCCAAAGTCAAGAGTATAGGTGCGCCGCCTGTCAACGACACCTCACGGACAAAGTGCACTCAAGTCCCCGGCGCGGGAATCGCTACGGAAACCCTCACCGCCAATTTCCCGTCGTATCAAAGCACCCCGCGGGACCTTCCAGCTCAGAGACCTTCCAGCTGGAATCAAGCCCAGAGACCCTCATTCACGGAAGCTCCCAAGAAGAGCGCTTATCCCAGTCGAATTCTTGACCAGGGACCTCCCACAGATGATTCAGCAATATTTGCTTCGGATCGGGGATGTGGAGCTCGGAAACAAGATGAGTGGGGGAGAGTGGTGAGATTCGGAAGAGACAGAAGTCGCGAGCTTCACATCACTCATCATGTCCGAATTACCTGCCTGGGCCATCTTTATCCTCGTTCGGGGGCAGTTGCCGGTAGGTACTCAAGGAAAAAGACCTGAATACACGAGCTGCTAGAATGAACAAAATAATCGTTTATTGCAAACGAATAACAATCGAGAACTTCGCTGCACAATACACAATCAATACAGGGATCCAACTTCGGGAGTTCTACGCGACATCGGTCCCATAGAAGGGACGCTCGCTTACCGCTCGGAGCTCAGTCAGAGAGACGAGACATCCGACGTGTCTTGGGGACGCCTACCGGTTTCAATATTGTTCGGCCCTTCCTCAAGCTATCTTTCCGTAGTCGAATTAGATGACTATCAGATTCAGAGCTGACATTTTTCTCTGAAGTTTTTTAGTTGTTCTTTTGCATACGGCTGAGCAGCGTATCCGCTAGTTTCGATTCTCTCGGAATGAAAAGAACGATCCTCCTTCTGACCGATGTGGATCCTCCTCTCCGCTGGTTTCGATTCGTTCTTTCGATTTTAGAGCTCTTGACTCACCCAATATTGTGGGAGATGCAACCCCGAGAAAATTACAATACAGGGAGGTTCTCCACGCTGTTCTAGAAACAACGACAGTAATAGACAGGAGTTTACGAATTTCTACGGGGCCCCCTGCGATTTCATGAGCCGAATTCACAGGGGCTGACCCGGGTCCGCGAAAATGATATTCGATACAGCAAATCAAGGGTACCGGAAAATATCAGGTTAACAGTGAATGTCTTGAAGATCTGACCCGAGGTCAACGGCGAAAACTCTCACAGTCTCGCGATTCAGTCTCGCTGGGAGTCGATCTCGATTGATGATATGCATGTCGAAGACGTTTCAGAATTCGTGCTTGAGACGAACCCGCCAATGGACGACGAGAGCAATGGCGGGAACGACAGAAACTGTACCTACTGCTGTAAGAGGGAGGAGAAAACCTCGAAGAGAGAAAAATTAATTAGATACGCTACGAGCTACGATGGCACCTTTTGCAAATCGTCGCGGAATGACCGTCAAGTGTCCCTTTCTAATATCTGTGTGGTCAGGGTACCTCGGATGTATCCGTCTTATTGTTGAGGAATTTCCAAATTGTCACGAGCCCGTTTGCGAATTTCTGCCTCGTCAAGTGGCCTCCTACCTCTGTTGTCTCTGGATCGGACGTCCTATGGGTTTCGCCAAAACACATCCCTATCGAACGAACCGGGGACCGAGTGCAGGGACTTGCTATGCTCGATTGACTCTGGATCCGTACCTCGAACTCGGGATTTTCTCGTGTGACCGCGATCCGCCGAGTCATGATTGAAGTACACTAAGACGGTAGGAGTGCGGTTCAGATACTCAGTCACCTAATTATCCGATCGATCGATCAATCAGTCAGACTACCAGTCAGTCAGTCAATCAGTCGCCAACCTCCAATAACAATTTCGCACACCGACCTCCGAGAGTCCCTCCAATATTCCCGTTCTCCCCATCGCGATAGACGACGATGCGTCCACTTCGATATCATCAACGCTCCTTTCGCCGGTCCTCGCTCGCTTGAGGATATCAGATCTTCTCTGAATTGTTTCTCTTCGTTCCCGATACACAGCGGCTGATCGAGCCATCTGAGGAATACTCTCTCGGTCGGCTGCTGTCCAACATTCGTTCTTTGAGTAGATCTAATTGCACTTCTTGCTTCCTCTTCTCCTTTCTTAAATCCTTAGTCGATGCTGGCTCCGAATGATGACCATTACCACCAATCCATCGGAATTTACGTGCAGGAATTTGGCGTGTTGATCTTCGTTTGTATCTCGCTATCCTCTCTCTATGCTTTTAGCGGTGCACTGCGCACGGGGCTCGGGATGTGCTGCGTGGCTGGTAATGTTGCGTGATCACCGTATGGGTTTACTGCTGAGAAGCAACAGTGGAATCGAGCTGGGCGTACTCTTGACTAGCCTCCGTTCCTTCAGGAGCTGCCGCTCCCTTGTTGAGTCCGGGAATCGGGATGTTGGGCATATTGGGCAATTGCACCGGAATAGCCCCCTTCGCTTTGGTCAGCACACCTCCTACCTGGAACACGGATTGCAAAACTCTCAGTTTGCGAATCAGGCCTCGATCCAACTATGTCCACCGATACCCTCTCGCCGATTAGGGTCGTCGATCGGTAAACACAAATCGGCCGAGGTGTTCATGACACGAAGTTTAGCTGAGAATCCAAGGCTCGACGGATTCACGGAAAGAAGTAGAAACTTTCGGGCATTCCTCCTCTAGCTCGAGGTCGATGTAGTGGGAATGATCCGATCTAATTGATTTAACTCGCCGAGAACGGACTTGTCAGAACGATTTCGACGCCGATCAAGACATTATTGATTGAGCGCTGTTCAGCCCCGAGGGTTGAGAACGGAACGTGGCGTAACACATTATTTGTATTTAGCAACAAACCTTATTGCCGATGGCGGCGCCGACGTTTCCGACGGCGCTCCCGATCGAGAAAGGTTGCTGCGGAGGATCAGGAAGGCCTTGTTCTGTAAGATATAAACAAGAAAAAGACTTCAACGCCGGGACGAATGATCGCATTCCTGTGGAGAATACCAGAGGGTCTTCGAGCCGGTCGAGGAATGTCTGACAATCGTCCTCCGAAGGGATCCTAAGCGAGAACGGCCTGCTGTATTGTTGAGCGATGTGACGCAAAATTCGCCGAATCTATCGATCTATTTCCGGATGCTTTGGAAGCGATGCTCAAAACTACACAGGGCCGGGCATCGGGACCTCTTTGGAATTCTATCACGAGAAGCTCTAGACTCCAGAGACTAGACTCTGAACTGTGGACCCTGGGCATTCCATGGCAGCGACCGATACAGCTGCGACAAAGAGATCCGCGCAAGTAATGTCCCTCAACTCTGATTCAGACGGGCAGCTGCCTCCACGCCTTCCGAACATCTCAATGATCGGTGTTTCGTGGAAGGCGTCTGGGTCAAGAAACATATTCTGGGCGGGAAAATGTCTCCTGGATCTGCGCAGACTTACTTGTCGGAATCGAAACAGAAGACTCGAATCAAGAAACGACATTTTGATCCCCCGTAGTCATCATTTTGGGGCGGAGCGAGACTGCAGCGACCGAGTTCCTCATCGCGAGTGAGGTTGAATTTTTCTCGGCGACTCCCGAGTACCTACACATGGAAGCGAAATAAAAGCGAGCTTCCCGTATGCGCCGGGTACGCTATCCGGTTGCTCAGAAGCGTCGCCGTAACCGGCTCCGCACAGGCACGGAAGGGATTAGAAGAGAGATTTCCATTTTGAAAGAGATTCCTCCTCGGAACGAGTAGATGAACGTTGGGAAAGGATATCCACTGCACTGGAAAATCACCCCGTCTAAATTCACCGCGCGCTTCACGTTTCCGGCAGAGACTTTTGGCTCACTTGCCTGGTCGCAAGTGCGCATTAAATTCCTCAACAGGAAATATCGCCTCGAGGACCTTCGCGCTCCATTTTTTCCCCTCGAAAGAGATCTGACCGCCAAGACGGACGGCTTCCGCGACAACAGGCTGTCAGGGAGGCACGATTCACGGGCTTGCTCTGCCATGGTGGTCACGCACCGCGCAGCCTCCTCATTGATGGCATAGAATACTAGCTGACGCTGGTCGATCTCGTGTGCTCCTCTGAGCGACAGAGGGTGATTTTAGACTCGACGAGGACGGTAAGTTTCTGAGGCATAGTCAGAGCTTTTCCTTAGACCGGATCAGGAACATGGTTCCGTGAATCATCTCTAAGAGTCTCGATGAAGCAAAGGTTTTTTCCCGCCGCATGACTTCGCGCATCGCGACCCCGAGTTAAAGTCGCGGAGCCAGAAGTTCACTGTGCGGTAGCGCCACAGTCTTCACAGTTCTTCTGTCGGCGACAAAACCCCCTCATAGAGGTGCGTTCCGAAACACGAGATTAATTACAGGAAACCAAGAATGAAGCCCGCTCGGAGTAAGGTACTGTTTCCCTATTCGACTCGACCGGATTCTAGGGACCGAAGGTTTCATTCCGTCTTTCGGCGTCTGACAGCTTGAATTTTTCACTCCGACGGAACATCCACTCATCGAGCTCCACAATCGTGCACGAGCCTCACTCGTGCTTGCACTTGTTTGCATTTTTGCATTCGGCGGATTCGCGGTAGCCATCGGTCTCAAATACCCGAGAGGAACCCCCAAGCACACAGTGCCCACCCGCGGCTCCCGCCGCGAGAACGGCGGCGCCGCCACTCAGCGATGTTGCGAATGGTTGGACGACTGAGTCAGTTGGCGCGAGCCCGGTGAGTTTCACTCTGTCGGACTCGATCAGGCCAATGAGCTGGCCATGAAAAATGTTCGAGTTGGCCTTGGCGGCTTACCTCGGTTACGTTTGAGTTCCATTTTCTGCAGGAGGATTGCGTCCCACTCTTCGTCGGTGGACACCATCCTCCGCATCTTGTCGAACATCGTGAGTTGGATATCGCCATCGGCCACTGCGGCTCCAGGCTGCGGGGTTGCGGGAGCTTGGGCGGTATAGCCGGAATCTCCTTCCATCTCGATGCTTCACTTCGTCCGGGGAGTCGTTCCCCTTGATGCTGAAGAACGAGGGAACGATAACGATCGAGTCCCTCACCGTAAGCAAATTGCACAAGGCGAAGGCACAAGCTTGCTACGAACGTGCGTCTGTCTACGGTTCCGAACTGCTTCGTATATCGCCTTCACTCAACTTCACTCTGCCATTGGTGCTCTCATGGGTTGGCGCGAATCCTCAGTGCCTGCTAGAGAGCCACGTGACCTCTGCGGGACCCTGCGGGAGCCCCTGAGCTTCTGCGACGAGCTCTAGAGGGCGCCCGCCAACACCAGTTGATGGCTCCGCTCCCCCGCCCCTCTACCTCGGACCTCTTCGTCCCCCGGCGGGATCCCGCATTTGTCTCCCCGTCCCCCGGAGCCGTGAGCCACCCGTCGCGATCGCTCTGCTTTCGCCCGTAGCGAAATACTCTTCTCTAACGTTTGAGGCCAGACCAGACAGAATTGAGGAGCACAGGCTCACGCGGAGCTTAAGGCCCATTCACTTTGATGGAAGGGCGCGAATGCTCAAGTTTTATTTGATTACTTTTGCTTACGTGGATCACACGTTGATCGAGTTCCCTTTCGAGCCAGTCGACTCAAGCCTTCTCCCTGATTTCGTATTGTCTCCCTCCCGTCGCCGTGCGCCTTTGACGTTACGTGTCACGCGAGGCAATTTGACGCGAGAACATACGTGGGCGTCACTATCGATGGGACGGTCTTTCGAGCGCTACTAGTTCGTTAGCCTCATGCGTGAAAATTCACACCCCGTGCAGGATGGGCTCATTTTGGCGATTTCTCGGCGAGATGAAGCACTGTGCTCCCAAGAAATGGATCGATCATCTGATCTCGCAATACCGAACGATCATGAATCATGAATGTCTCGGTCCATGATGCACCGCGAAGAACTTGGTCGGGGCGACACTATCATCGATTCCTCTTCATCGTTCTGTTCTCATTTCCCTTGTCGCCGAAAGAGATTCCCTCGTGAGCTGCCTGACGATTCCACCGCTGAGATGGAGTTTCTATTTGGCCGTCCTCTGAGTGCGGATTTGCTCTGTTTGCCCTTCTTCGTATTAGCCTAAGCTCTCAGCGGATATCCGGCCACACGATCCAACGGTGCCGTCGTCTTGCCAGCCGAGAAGAAAGACAATAGAACACGCCGGGATAGGCCGAGGAGGGAAGCGGACGTCGACCACGTTTTACAAGATTATTATATTCCTGAAGATCAATGAATTCTATTGATTTTTCCCCTCTCTTCAGTCTCACCCGATGCGTGTTCCTGACAGCGAGCATTTTCGTTTGATGATGAAACGATGGAGAAAGCTCCCGTAGAATTAGGTCAAGCGGAAAGAGGTAGACCCATTGAGCCCGCATAATTATGGCCAGACACGTGTCCAGCTTTGACAAAGGCGAGCCTAGCAGAAGGAGGCAGTTTATGGGTAGCGTCGTTATTCCGGAGGATCCATCGATTCTTCGAATGGCTCTCTGGGTTCGGTCAGCGATACGTATTGCTTACTGGATCTGATCGGAATATGCGTATTCCTCGAAGCAAACACAGCGGACCGGACGAGAAGCTAGGGACGAGCTTTACCAGCAGCACAATATGTACCCACAGAAGTCTGCCTTGATATTTCGTACCGCAAGCACTGTGACCGCGGTCGTACAAAACCGCAACATTACGAGCTCCTCCCGCCACGGGCGCTTCCCTGTTCGATCCGACGGTATTCCGGGATAACGAAATCCCCCGAAGACGCTTCTCTAAAACCCATTATCTCATTGAGCAGACGTATCAAAAACTTTTGCGGGCTGATCCACACAGCCAAGGTTTAACGTCCCGGGTACTGTTATTCACATTGCTTCCGAGGACGGATCCATAGAGCAAATGTACCCAGGAGGATCAAGGCCGAGTACCTTCATATTTTGCCGGCAGCAGGACGAGCAGACGTATCAAAAAGGAACGGTATGTCCCCTCTATCATATCGTAACGAAATGACCAAACAGTATCAATTTCAACAATAAATAGCAACCATCAGCGTTTATTCGTTTATCTCGCTAATGAGAGGGGGCTTCCATAAATAATAGACTCTGTTGAGAGCGCTCGCGTTGTCAGATTGTCCTTCGTGAGGGAAGGTGGTTCGTGGGTCGGGGAAATGGATAGCGCAATCGGTCAAAGTGTTACTCTTTTCATCTGCGAGAAACTTGTTAGCACTCGGCCACCCGGGGCCCGAGTGCCGAGGCAGAATGGATATTTCGCATTCCCGCAATCGGTCGGCCTCCGACGTCGTATTGGCCTAAGCTCTACGCGAATCTCCGGCTCCGTCCAACCGCGACCTGCCCAAGCTGCCCACGGCGACACGATGCTGGAGCATCTTCGTAGCCGCGGGCAGACGGAAGATGTACAGTCGATTCGGGAAGAGAACTAGACGGGTTGTTGTATCTGACATAAGTCCCTCATAACAGTCCCTTGCGCCTGTACCCCGTTAAATACGTCTATCGACGACGCCATGTCTTCTGACGTTCTCTGGGGAGGGAGACGACTTGAGTTGAGCAAATAAACGGAAGCGCCGACGACCTATATCGATCGATACAATAATATGGTCATGTCCTTCCAATTCATCCGGACGTAACACTTTTTCGAGTGCGTCACGCACGAGCCCCAATTCCTGCCCACGATGCAATGCCACGTAGGAGAATATAGTTGGTCGAAATCTTGTTTGATGGCCTCGGCGACGTGTTTTTCACTTCCGTATAAACGGATCGCTTGCAACGCCGACTGGACGGCAGTTTTTTGCATCTCGAGAGGCATGTCGGCCGCCTGGAACCGGAGCTCAAGGTTATCTCGGCTGGTATATATGCAAGTCGAGCTGCCGAGGCTGAAGAATGAAACGAGGGGACGATTCACTTCTCTAATTCTTCATACGCGTCGTCAACCGTATACAGCTGCGAAAGATCGAATCCCTCCCTCTATTCGTGTTTGCGCGCTAGAAACATCATGGGAGGTAGGCAATCGAGACTGCTACATACAAACCTGAATCTGCAGTTCGCCGTCGTTCCGCAAGGGCTCGTCTATAATGCTGGTGGCCGTGTTCTGCGCCTGGGCCCAGGAGCGTCTCTCGAGAGCACCCAATCCGCCCACCACTCCATTCAAACTCATCGGACGAGCTCGCACGGCGGCCGAATGAACTGAAGGCGCTCGATTGATCGGTGAGCCGCTGAAATGGACAGAGCGCTTTCATTCCGACCGTGAGACGACAGAAACAAAACGACTATCGACAACTGGATCGAGATGAGCGACGATCGGCGATATGCATGCTCGCTCGCCCGCCCGCCCACACTGTCGTCCGGTCGATGGTAGAGAAGCGAGACCTGGAGGACTCACTCGAACGATGCATTCCAAGACGGCCATCGTTCTTTTGACGTGAAAACGTCTTTACCCAGGCTCGGGTGACCTGTTCGATGTACTTCGTCATCCAAATAGCCATAACTTGTCGCACTTTGCGGTCTTATATCTCGATCCTCATTCACGCTGGCCGCAAACTGATTCCTGTATCGAAAGGGAAGTTTCCGGGATTCCACTCTGAACGAGATCCTGTCGCGAAGCGCTACATGGTTGCTCCATGATTTCGGTTTTTCTACATACCCCTCGATCAAGCTCGGAATCTGATAAATAATAGTGAATTCTAGGCTTCTCGTGGGGTTTTGAGAGGAGAATTTTATATATGGAGCTCGATAGGGAGGAAACTAGCAAGATGCAATAGTTCTACTCGATTATTGAGGCGAGGTTCTCTAGACATTCCCTCGAAACTCTTCGTTTCCGAAGCTCCCCCAATGTGGAATGATTCGGTCGACTAAACAATGAAGTTTGCCTGAAAACGACGTCTTTGGACCTCGAGGACCTCGAGTCTGTCGCATCGTTATCGAAAGGTTCTCAATCTGGGAGCGCTGGTCTATGAGATGTTGCTTCTTCAGTAAAACAATGCTGTATCAATCCTTTCATCCAAAGAATGTCGACGTCATTCTCATACGGGTCTGCGCCTTGCGCGTCAACTCCCTCGACCGTCCGATTTGGAAGCAAGCTCACACCAAGCTACATCACGAAAGTGATTGCACGGAAAGCTATCGCTCGTCCGGTTCTCACGAGGTAGAATCCTCGCGAATTCACCCACCGGAAACAACTTCGCCACCCATAACCATCCACATTCCAACACACTATGGATTCCATGTCCGTCGATGCTGAGTCTGACTAAATTCTCCGATGAACGACAACAACAGTAACCGCGGCCTCTCATCAGCTGCAAGGAGGAATCCGCATCAAAAACAGCACTGGACCGAAATCAATCTAGCCCATGCGGTCGAATAAGGCGGACCGATTTTATCCGCCGGCAGTCTTGATTGGCCGGAATGGATACCTTTCAGGCACATGACGCATGAGAAATTTCGTCCACCAATACCCTCAAGACGTTTTCAGGCATGGAACGGTGATGTCCCTGACATAACCTAGACTGAATTTTTTACTTGGAGCCTCCATACATAGAGAGCTATTTTCTCATTTCATGGAGTTTTCCCGCGGCTGGCTCTCGGGTTACCATTGTTGTCCATGGGGCGCGGAAATATGCTTACATGAAGGAGGCAGGAGAGCTCAGAGGGTATGCGGAGCCCGGTTTCGGGAGCGTCGAATAGGCTTTTTCCAGAGTGTCCGGCTTAAGCTCTTCCATTCGTTCGGAGTACATTTCGCTGTTGTACTCGCCATACATGTCGCCTTTCTTGCTACGCTTGTAGAAGTGGATGATGTTCGCCACCGAATAGACTCGCAATCCTGTGAGGAAGCCCACGATGACGGAAACAACGATATCCGTGGTCGCTGTTGATGACTGCACGGAAGAGAGGGAAATTTCATACACAGCCCCCAATAACCGATGATATGAGCAGGGAAAGAAATCCCGTCAGAATTCTCACCTTCAAAGTCGCCAACCTGAAAGCCGCGATCGCCGGATAATGCTCAAAATCTGCTGGAGAGGGAATCCTCAGATCAGAGGGGTACTGCTTGTCTCTAATCAGGAACTGAAGAAAATAGGACAGTTGTCAGTCATCGAGCAGCGGTGACAAGCTCCCTGGAAAACTCATTGACGACGCGGAACATGCCCTCATTCACAACTCCCGTGGTTGAAGCCGCCCCGCGAGTCGGGCTTGATGACTTCACTCACGGAAGCTTCCACTATGTGAGCATGGCACTTCTCTTCGTTCGGGTTAGGTAAACGACATCGTATTCTGTTCAAGTCGATGAGAATTTCGACAGCGGCCGTGGGGAGAACCAGAAGGGCGACTTTGGAAACCGTTGGCCCAGGTACGCGCTTGGGAGTTCCCAGAAAACGATTCGCTGCAGCGCTGCGCCATTTTAATTTAGAATGCACTCACCATAATGATCCTTAGCAGGATGAAGCCCGCGCTCGCCGCAATATCGACCGCAGCGAAGATTGACAGCAGCAGAACGGTCCGGAGCGGGACGCTTCCCTGGAAAACTAGAGTTTGGATTGGAATGCTCTGGCAGACTCAGCCTCAAGATGGAGGGAGGGGGGAACGCATCCCAGAAAGTTCACTCGGGCCTGAATGGCGAAAACGGGTCGATGGAAGGAGGAGCGATCGGAAAAAAACGAATGACAATGCTCTGCTCGCCCGTCGACGTATATTCTGAGACTCACATCGTCCTTAGCCTGTTTGAGGGCGAATACCATCCACCACCAAGATAAGATGTATACGAGAACGAAAATGGCACTCAATATCAATATCGTTCGGGATGCGGTGAGTTCGCCTGAAAAGGGAATGGATATATATCATGTTCGGAAACCAAAAAATTAAGAGTGATCCAAGGTCGCGGAATGACCGAGCGAAGTCCCCCGCAAGCTGTAGACATTCAGTGGATGAGTCGTCGTGAGCCTGCGGCACCACCGGGGACGGAGTGTCCGGCACACGGGGCTTGTCAGGAGAGTGCATCGGATTTTTTTTGGCTTCATTTCACAGCCTAGGATCAGCGAGCTAGAGCTGCAAGACACCGCGACTCGAAGAAATTAATTTCGAAACTGATCGAGTCGATCTCGGGGGAATCGTTGGCTAGACGAGTCCAAAACCGTCAACTTCAGCGCTCCTCCTCAGAGCCTGACTTGTATTTTCAATCGAGCGGCTACTTAATTGGAAAGTTCTTCCCCATTTCCGTGGCCGTCCGCTGACAGAAAAGCCCGACGTTGACAATAACGTCATCTTCCGAAGTCGATGGCACTTGAGCCATTTGCCGTCAGCTCCGTCGGATCGGTGGCTGGCGGGCTAGTCGCTTGGTCGCTCGCCTTCTGGCGAACGATATCGTCATGTTAACTCGGCCATCGCATCAGGACGATCCGGTCGTGGCTCCTTTTGCCACAGTTTCCGCATCGGTTTGTCTAGTCGGGCGGAACGCCAATCGACTCCTGCGGCAGCAATGTTTCCCCTGTAGATGTCTCGTTCTTTCTCCCCGTGGCAGAAGTTGCTTCTCGCGCCCGCTCCAAATGTCTTCGGATTTGCTTGCGTGGATCTCAGGCCAGCGATATCTGATCCTGCCAATTCGATCTTCACAAAGCGAGGTTTCGTGTTTTTCGGGGAGCATCTGCTTCCTTAATACCTCTCATCGGATTGGAAATCGAAAAGGAACGGCATTCGCTCCGGACGACTCTTGACTCTCCTCGCTTTCGGAATTACGCGATCAGTGGGAGAAAATGTTTTCACTTGGCTGAATTTTCCTACCGATGTAGATAATAGAAGAACGAATGCGGGATGTCCGTGCGCTCAGATCGGTCTTATCACGACGATGGTTTCACGACGCAGGCGGGAGAGAATCGGAATCGCGCTGATTAATCTGAGCGAAAAATTTGAGCATCCTGAAAATCGTTCCGGAGACGCACATGACCGGAACCGCTTGTAAGCGGTGCTCCGGTGTTTGGGAGAGAGACTGTGCGGTTCTTTGAACATTATTATTCAAACGACCGATGAGCCCGTACAAGCCGGATCGTAGTCCGCTCGATATGACTCAAGTCCATGAGATATTCTGCATATCGTAGCTTCAATGTTGCGCAACATTTTTTTCTTGATATTCCGGGCAGCGGGAGCCGCGGCTGAACGTAAGGGGAGTTGTTCCCTTTCTGACATCCGTTATCATTGGTCGGAACGACGCCTTATCTGATTTGTGTCGCTAAAGCATTTCCCGTGTATGGGGAAGGATGACTGACTCGCAGTTACGATTCGCAAAAACAACGCTCTTCCGACATCTACGACATTCGGACCCGAATGGTGAACGCTCTCGATGCGTGACGCCGGATCGAGACGATTTGAGCTATCTCCTAAAACTCGTAGCGCTCGTTGGATATTTACACTCTGAGTTAAAGTTGAAAGAACATCAAAATTTCCCATCGAATCTTAACGGACGAGTCTTTTCAATTGATGGCCGGATTTCTTCTGCGGGGCTTCCCCGTCGGTTCCGGCTGCTGAACCCGACGCTGATGCCGGTGCAGCTGGAGCCATTGCTTTTGTGAAGGAGGTCCGTATTGTCGGAAGTCGATTTGACGCAGCACGGGAGGCCGACAGGCTGCTCATTTCTGAAGTTGACGCTCACGATTGCCGCTCTTTAGACGAGGGGCTCATTCTTTTGCCTTCGGACATCCGAGAAGGGAGACGCAACGATGACGAGCGAATCGGATTCGCCACGTTTTCGGGACTCAGTCCGGAGGAGCGAGTCCTTCCAAGCGGGAAATTCTCGACTTCAGCTTGATCGTTGCAACAGCTTACGTAACAAATCGCCGACTTCCTCGAAGCTGAGAAATGCGTTTCTCAGGTGTTTTGATCCCGTCTTGCTCATTCGCTTCAATCCGATCCCATTATAAATTCCACTCATCTCGTGTGCTTCCTCGAGGTTCAACAACCTGAGGTGAACTCCGCGAGTATTCGCGATTGATCTTTCGGAGAGCGTCATAGATAGTCTGTCGCCAAGCGACAGAAAAAAAAGCTTCGACTCACCTATGAAGATGAACACGTCCGTTCTGAGAATAGATCTGTTCCCTTGAGTCAGATCTTCGAATTGTCCCAACCAATCGATCTCGACGACTTTCAAGAATTCAATTTCTCTCGAAACCTCCATCAACCGCGCTACGATGAGAATCAATCCCAGAATCGATAAGCCCTGCAAAATTTGAAGCAATCTTGAATGCAAGGACTCGTCTCAACACGAATTCTCCCTCGCGCGGGCGATTCCTTAGATAGAGCTGAAGGAACCATTCCCACGGATTCCTGCCTGCTGGGAGGAGCCTCCGGGACCGTTCGATTTTCTTCTCTCGCGTTGGATCGACAGAGGATCTATGAGATGATCCGAGAAAAAAAATGAAAAAATAAGTCCGATCACGGCGCGGCGCTTCTCATCCACGAATGCCTTCTAAAGTCTAGGGCAGCCGTATCCGAACAGGGATCCGCTGCCTCATTGATAATCCGCTGGAAAATGTCCCGGGGTATTCTACGATAGTTAAGTGTAGGTTTGAGGACGACTCGTAGACGACAGGTGAAAAGACGTTGAATTTATCTCGAGGAAAGAGCCGCGATTTACTCGCGGAACGTCCGGTTGGCCGAGGGGACATCGAAATATAATAATAATAATGATAATTGAATACCGCTGGGCCAGACGTCTGGTACGAAAGTTTAGATCTCATCTTCGAAAGTGAATAATACGGTGATGAGGAAGCATTGTGGGACTCCTCCTGTAACCTGAGCGATTCAGCTAAGAGGACTATTGGTGCTCCTACTGCTCGGGCTTCGTCTCCCCATTTATGAAGACATTGTCGAACAATACTCGCACTTGGAAAGTGAGATGGATCACTATGGTGGTGCCGAGTTGCGAAGAGAAACGATCAAGACGCAGATGGTGTGAATTCCTCGTCAACATACCATTGTGGTCACCACGCGTAAGGAGCCATAACGTCTCGTCTCGCGTCTTTTGCTCTCAGTCAGTTCTGTCGCTCATGGTCCATCTTCCGGAAAAAGCAAGCCTTCAATCAAATATCGATCACTCAACTCTCGCCAATGGATCAGCCCGATCATGGTACTATAACGCCGCTGACTCAGTACACCGGTGGGAAAATCGGCTTAAACTCGTTTCGCGGGCAATTCCATGCGATCCGTGAGAACAATGTCGTGCTCACTGGACAAACCAAACCAGAACAGCTGACAAAATGGAGTTGCAGCCGGAACGAGAACTCTCCCTTCGGCATAATTGAACGGTCCTGTTTGGCGAAAGTGAAATTCTTCTTGAGCGGACTAGTGTGCAGCTGGACGAAGACTCATCCCGTTTGAAAATTAGCGTACATCGATCTGGGTCAGAGCAGGGCGCTCGTCGGGTGCCAAGGTTTTTCATGAAACGCTCTGTGGCGTAAAAACGTTCGATTCCGTCTTTTCATTGTTGTTTTCACCGATGTTTTTTTTTATACCAGTGTCCGTCTAAGGGAAGGATCGCCACTTGCTCGGCTTCCCGATATCCCGAGCGTAGATCACGAAGGGAAGCGACATCTTAAGCGCCTCATTCTTCGGGGCTTATGTATAGGTGATTCGGACAGTAGACGCTTCTCAACGGTCTTGGGAGACTTCAACGAAGACACTTTTTCTGCTTCTCGGAATTCCCGAGTGGAGGATGACCGAATTCCATGGAGGGCTCAAGCGAAGAAAATAATTTACCACAGACTTCGAGCATCAGCAGAACGTTGCCGAAGAGGGACGAGAGACGAGACGATGTAAAATCAATGGGGGTGGAAAACAAAAATTGGAATATGGAAAGTCCGATGTTTAGGCTCACAGACGAGGGGATGCCCCCCTCGGTAGGCCGGTGAGGAACCGTCCCCCCTTTCTTCCTCCTAATCGAGATCCGAGTTCATGAGTCCGTCCGGCCACCAGTCCTTCTAAATCCTCTCTCTGTATAGCTCACCATCGAATACTTGCACGTCTGGATGACGGCTCCTCGTAGATCGAGAGGCATCGTGGTACGGCACCAGCCGGGAACACCTCAGAAACCAGAAGAGATATCCGCGCACCGTTCTTATGAGCTCTTGATTCGGCTCGAATTCCCCACCATTTGGGAGTCCGGGGAAGAGTTGAAGAACTCAAACACAGCTGGTTCACGCACACCGCATTTGAGACAGTAGCTAGAAATCGTACCAAAGAAACGAAGCGCGCCTCGGTACCCGGACCCCGCGGCTTCTTGCGAAAGAGAAAGTGCTCTTCTGCTGGACAGTGCAGGCAAGGGATGCGTCGTCTCTTGCCATCTTCAGCGGCTATCGACACGGGTCTCGCTTCCTTTCACGTTTTTTCCTCCTTCTTCTGATTATCAGAGCCGAAGGGAAGCGTACGTACTTGACGGATTCTAGAAAACCGGCGAATTCCGATGTCAGCGAAATATCGAGCGGTTCCGTTCTGCTTGGCGCCCAGAAGAAACTATCAATAACGAACATTTGTCAAATCGAAACGACGGCCGTTCCGAATGCAGGAGGAGCATCTGGAGCAGCGGCAGTCCTGAGCGTGGATGCGCGAGGTGCACTTCCTTCATCCAGTTTCGAATCCTCAAGGCTGGGAATCCAACGAGAATCTGAGCTCTCGCAACCTCTATGGAATGAATGTTCCGTCTGCGGGTCAGCCGCGGATCTCATGGAACCGAATAGATGACGAGTCTTCCGGGAGCGCAGGAGACACGAATTCCGCTCCTTGTCGATGAAATTGGCAGATTCATGATCTGAAAGCGTAATACCGCAGCTCTGCGAGGATCTCATGCGCGATACCAAGCACTTAGGCCTCGATGTCCGGATAGCTAGTGAACCGATAGTCAGCTCAGCGCTTTTTTTTCATGCCGTCTGCGGTTTTCGCACGGATTACTCCGGCGGATCCGTTCGCTTTTGATCCTCTCCAAACGAGTATGAGCTGGGAACCAGAGAACCACGAAATTCAGGCCTCCTCGAGGATCGCCATCATGATCACGACTTGGGCGGCATTCGGAACACGGACGATGAAAACATCTATGGATTTGCTCCGGAGTTGAGGATTTTGAGAACCAAATGGAAGGCGGTGAGATGACCGTATCGTCGTTATAGATGGTTCAGCATCATCCCCCAAGCTCCGATAGCAGAACAGCGCCCGGCCCTGGATCGGTCAATTATCGCCGCACCCATTGGGTAGGCGGAGGTAACGAGCAGGGATTCAGCTTGACTACATATGTGACCGAGTCAATGATTTGGATGCGCAAGTTTCGTTCCGTCAACTCTCTAGTGTCAGCTAGCACAGAATAGATAATCTGTATTCCGGAGCCCGCGACTTCCTCCAGAAGAAGGGTGGAAATATTGCACGATTTCACCGAGTAGCATACAAACTGACTCATCCCGCCATCCTAGTAAGCGCGGAGCGTGCTAGAAAAGTACCTACCTGGAAGTGAATATTCAAGCGGTTTCCTCGTTTCATGATAATTTGTCCATCCGGACTTCGAAAGCATTAACTTTCGTCCCGCCCGCAGATGAACAGCTCTTCCAAGCGGAGCTCACGAGCCCAAAATTGAGAACGTGACAACGCGATGCTTACGATTTAATCGTCGATGGAGTCGAAAAGTCGAGCCACTCGTGAAACGACAAAATGATTGTTCTGCTATGAGAATCTCTCAGATTCGCCGAACGTCGTGGCAGCGTAGTCTGAGCTCGCTTTCGCTCTGAAGTAGACTTTCCATGTGGATAGGTTTTTGAGGCCCGGACCTGCTGATCGCGACCAACTATATCCAGAACACCTTGCTCGAAATACGTCTCGTCAATCGATATGAGAAGATCATCGTAGCGTGTCGTGACTTGGTGCTACCCTTATAAGAGAGTGGAGAGCCGTCCATCGACGAAATTGCCTACCCTGTGTCTTGGATGAGGGTATCGCCCACTTTTATCACTACGTTCCGCATGCTTTTCTGTTCTATTGTGGCGTCCTTCCGCGAAAATTTTGCGATGTGTCGGACTTATTTCAGTGTCCTCAATCACACGAATCTATAAGGCCTCTGAATACTATAGGAGGCTCCATAGACTCCATAGCGCAGGACAAATGATGAGCCACGAAAAGTCGATCAGGGTCTCAGGCAGCGTTTTATGCGTCAGTTGGAGATAACATCGACTTCAAGCAGGATCGGCCCTAAATCTATGAGGTGAAGACGCGACGCAGCTCGGTCTCGGAGCTGCAGAGCAGGGGAGAGCCCGGTGAGAACTTCGCTCCCCCGCAGAGTTGTGACTTCATCGATCTCCCTTCCTCCAACCTGGTCATACGTGGCGCTGTGTTGTTCGTCACGATCCCGAAATAGAACGAGGTTCTGATCGCGGACCTCAGAGCTCCACTTTCTCAGCTCCTTCTGTCGTCTCGTCTTCTATTTTTCTCCTGGAACGGCGAAGCTCGGTCATGCAAGGATCCAGAGCCTACCCCCGTTTGGGGTGAGTGATTCACGTCCCGTATGGCCGTGGAGCGTTTTGTATGATAGGAGGCGTGACCTCTCATTCGACACTCTGTCCTAGGAATGGGGAAAATGTCGATGTCAATAATTCTTCTTACCCTTTCCCTCTCAGGAGAATCTTGCATTCTTCAAACGTATCCGGGAGGACTCTTCCGTGCGTTTCCGGAAAAACGAAAGAAAATGACAAGCCGAGAGCGCAGAGCGAGACGTTTATGGCTATCGGTACCCAGTCGTACGTCATTTTTCCCTAGAAAGTTGCGAAATCCACAATCACAAAAGCGAGCGATTGAGTCGCAATGATGCAATACCACTAGCTGAAAAAGAGGACGAGCGGAGGAGGAAAACATTTCGCGTAGTGTCTTACAAGAGTTTGGAGTAGGGGTGCGACGACTGCGCTGATTCGTGAACCAGTATGAACCACGCCACTGATCAATGATCGCACGTGGGTCGGATAACACTCGCTGATTTGTACGTAAAGAACGCTCCAGGTCACCTGTCCAGAAAGCTTCGCAATCGATGTGAGCGTCATGCGGATCCCGGTTGCGCCTGGAACGCGATAAAAATGTCCAGTTCGTTCCATTCGATTCGAAAATCTCTTAGCACACATGGAACTCCCTGATGAGGACGCCCGTTATGGGGGCGAGGGGTGCCAGGGGTCCCAAGAGTCTTCAAGAGTCCCAAAGGAGAGCTCATCGAACCCGCCAAAAAAACGCTTTCGAAAAATCAGTTATTCAGGCTTGCGAAGCCCCCCATGACGGCACAGCGACTTGAGACTGGTGGCAGGAAAAAACATGATTGTCCAACGCGTGACCACTTTAGAAGCGGCGCTTCTATAGGCTCAGCGAACTTCTTGAGCAGTCTTGACGAAATCCCTGCTCCATCATTATCACGGGCGTTAAAAAGCAGCGCGTGTCGAGCCGAAGTTGTCTCGTTCATCCTCCAATCCATTGCCGTTACTTTTTCGGCTCGGGAAATTGTAAAGCGGGCTCGATGAATAATTATTTTCAAAAAATATTCTGAAATGTTTGGGCCCCGCTCGCAGAGTATGTCGATTAGTACACCTTTGAGACCATCGGCATTCACATGAGAGACATCATGCCGAGTGATGGATATCTTAAGAGAATGGTTCGTCCGCTGGAGAAGCTCCTAGATGCTTCCAGGAATAAAACTCACTCTCAGGTGGAAACACCAGGGCACACAGGGACACGATGATCGCCATGTACGTTATAGGGTAGACTGGGTTACGTCTGCAGTATTTGACGACGAAATACGAAACGAGACTTATTGGAGCTTCACTCAAAGCCATGAAGATCAAGTTGAAGTAGGGATTCGTTCCGATCTCCACGGTGTAGTACATCAGATGATAGTAGATGAAAACGACTGTGCAGCTGAAAAACCGAGGATCAGGCTCCGGGAGAACATAACGCGGAGAAGAGGCTCCAGCTGAGAAATTCATCGTGGAATAGGTAGTATAGTAGCTGCGGACAGATGTCTTACTCACTAATTTATGAGACATGCAACGGTTAGACGAGCTATTTTGAAGCCCCTGAAAAGATCAATTATGGACCCCCGCGTCCTATCCGCACGGTTTTTCTCCTCCTGAAATAATCGGAATATTTCGTTCACAAGTGATCTGCTCATCTCATTTTTGAAGATGATGGGAAATCATTAGCAGGAGGACTCACTGCTTCGAATTTTTTTCGCGCTTCCTCTATGGCGGCATCGACGTCGATTTTCTGCAAGCCATTTTTGTCGACGATTTTCTTCAGGATCACTGCGGCTTCATCGTATCGTTTCATAGAGACGAGCCATCGCGGAGACTCATCAAGGAACCTGTCATTCATTCGGAATAAGAATTATTTTCCTCGAATCTCTGGAATTTTACTCGGATCTAGAGGCTGGGCCCGATGGGCAGAGGGCATCTCGCCTGTCGCGACGATGGATATACATTTAGTATCCGCAGATGTCACAGTCAGCCAGGTAGGAATGCATTCCTGTTGAGAAAGCCAATTGGTTTCAGAACTCGTCGATGCGATTCAACGAATTTCCACTAATTGTAAGTATTCCAGCGGAAAGAAGTGACGCGCAAAGGAGAGCCCGGAGAAAAACGACTTTTTTCTATTTGTCAGGGGACGTTCCGGGGCACCGAGGACAAAAATAGACACGGAACGCCACATTTTTATGCTATTTGTAAGTCTTCTGCGACCTATTTCAGGTATCAACGGCCACAGTTTCTTTCTGCTTCGGACACTCACCGACGGAGCGAGTCACGCAACGAGAGGTGTCTTCATTCCCGCTCGACCGTTGAGGGATCGAACTTAGAAAGTGCGACTCGATGCGAATACGCGGACACTCTAATCTGAAGGAGGGTATCAGTCCATATGATCGGTCGGAGGAGCTTCGCCAAAGGAGTAAGCCCGATCCTCTCGAAAGTGAGATGTATACAGAACATGGGTTGATACGATTCCGTGTGGCTTGAGGGGTCAGACGACCCATGGACTTTCCACGCCTCATCACTCCGGATCAGAAAACAAAAAGGTTGATATGGAGTCGTCGCGTGAGAGTCTCCCCATGATATTTTTACTGGCTCTGGAGAAGATGGCGAACAACACCCTGTGGCCGACGTGAAGTGGACACGAAACGCTCCGATAGAAGTTGCTTCTGAATCCGATTTCGAAAGACTGCCACGGGGCGATTCGACATGGTCGCCCGAGTCGCTGGGACTTCGGTACCGAAGATCTTCTAAGAATTGCGACATGGAGGAAAAATCGAATACCCGTGAGTTTTAAAGGAGGAGATCTCCAGTCGACTGTGAGGTTACTTCTCTTCTTCGCGGACGAGGAGATCCTTTTCTGCACAGGATTTCGTTCGACTGGATGCTCGATGGGTGTCTTCGAAGAGAGCGGTGAATGCATTGCATAGTCAGATCGCTATCAGAGATCGAATCCCCCATCGTAGCTGTCAGAGGGAATCATCGACGCTCAAATCTCCGAGAGTATTCCCCGACTCGGGCTGCCCGCGCCGGGGAAACGCGTCAAACGCTCGGCCTGTGAGAGGAGGGCGCGAGATCCTCTGGTGGACAGGGAGATCGGTGTGCTTTCGCAGAACCTAGTCCAGTGCGGCGTGTCCGCTATAGTGAATGTGGCCATTGATCGTGAGTTCTGTCTCAAGTATAGAACAGAGAGCTCATATTTTCCGAGAGAAATGGCTACTCGCTCCTTTGAGACACACAGGGAATTCCCATCCGCGCTGGGAGACTCTGGATACCCGGCTGATGATTTGTCATCTTCACTTGGTGGAGGTTATTCTGAGTACTCATTCAGTACAAACTCGGCATTCGAACTAATTCTCAGCGGAGCGAAGATCCGTGAAGATCGTCGCCTTAGATGAAGAATCTGACTGATGATATTCGGAGCATGGAATCGCCCTGTCGGTTCCATTCTTCTCATACGCGCGTCGGGGGGTCACACGCATACGCTGGCGATCTGCGTATTCTCAGAGGTCCTGCGCTCACAGGATCAGTCCACAGTTTGAGATATAACGTTGATTGTTTCTGCAGATCTAATGGGTTACCATTCTGAGATCTGCTCATAGCGCAAGAAGTTTTTTTAGTTCAAAACTCCCAAATTAGCTCGGGCAGTGAGCCATCATCTCTGCTCAGCATAGACGCGAACCAAGCGCTAAAAAAACCCTCCGATTGCGTTCCCTACTGATACTGATGAAGCGCTAGTGTACGAACAGCTTTGACCGGGACACTTGGTTGACATAAACAGCGCGAACGGACCCCGAAAAGCGGATATTCAAGAAACGTGACCGCTGCCGTGTCGCCGTCAACAAATATCTCTTATTGCATGAGCGAAAGATCAATCCATCGCCGTGGACGGTTGCCACGGAAGCTGACACTGACCTACCAACTACCCCAGAGCAAGAGACACGGACGGGCGGATGGATGGACGCAGCGACCGACCGACCGTCGAAAGCAGAGGAATGCAAGAAAAGCGATCGATTGCTAATCCTATCGGCCAATCATTTCCGAGCGAAGAGAAGAAACAGGACAGACAGACAAAAGCAACAACACCGGACCCCGAGCTGCTGGGCAACCACACCCGAAGCGTTTGCGAGGGGACTACTTGCAACCGTCCTGGCATCCGTTGAGTCAACGTCCGTCGACGGCGTCGTCGTAGTAACCTTGGTCATTAAATCGGGAGCTGCTGCTCCAGTTAACGAACGGTGTTCTGATTTTCGCCCGGTCCTGTTACTAAAAATAGGCAATAGACCGAAGAAAGAACTGACGGGATTCCACGATCTTGTCGCTAACGGTCGAAGCGAGCGGCCTGTTTTCGCGCGCAACGCTCGGTCCGCGATTCGACCGGCAGGCGGAATAAACGGACGGATGGACGGACGGACGGACGGACGGACGGACGGACGGACGGACGGACGCGGGACGGCTCGCCGGACGTTGTCAGCCCATCAGGATAGCTCGGGCGGCGCGCCAGCGAAGACTGCGGAGCGGGTCGCCTCGGCCGACAGACCGACGACGTAATTGTTAAATAATCGTGGAATGGAGCGGCTAACGAAAGTGGTCGGAACTGCGAATCAAGGTCGCAGGCTTCTGGACCGCGATGGTTTGAGGCCCAACGGCTATGGTGGCGGTGGCGGCGCGGCGGCGGCGTTGACCATTCCGTAGGCAGACCAGCAGTGACTGCAATACTTTCCCTTTCGGCGTAAACGGAGGCGGTGAGGAGTCACCCATGAGCCGTACACACGCCTTAAGCGTGCGCGGATTATATAAGACTCGATGCGGACACCCAGATCATAGTCAGTGAGCGAGTTTAATCGAAGAAGCAGCAGTAGCCGCTAAACAAGCAACCTACCAACAAACATGACCAAGTTCGCAGCTGTGCTCTTCGTCGCCGTTCTGGTGCTGTGCTCTAGCATGATCCAAGTTTCGGGTCAGAGGAAGCTCCTCAAGTTGGCCGCGGCCGCCGCCATCATCCGCGGAGGACCCATCATCCCTCTGCCCGTCAGATACCCGGTGCATGTCCCCAAGAAGGTTATCCACGCCCCCGTCCACGTTCCCGTTCACCACAAGCACGTTGAAGTTGGACACTTCGATCACGGCTACGATCACGGACACGCCGATGCTGGATGGTGGTAATCAGTTTGTGGTGCTCTGAACAAGCTCAAGGATTAGGATTTTCCAGTGGAAAGGCATTTCAGTTTGTGGACGGCGCATTGTAAAACTTTCCTTCATCAACTCCTTCCGACAACGGAAGCGAGCTGAACTGTGAGAGTATGAGCCAAACTCATACTGGGTTCCCTAAGGAACAGCTCAGTGAGCTCCCTCTTGTCATGTGTATATGATCTGTTATTTAATGTGTACAATTGTGAGCGTGTAAGTAAATGTTCGTATGTAAATAAATGTAGTAATTTTATATGTTGTTGAAATGAACACGATGCTCATTCCTTTGTTCGCTTCAATCGCCTCTCAATCGGATACAACTTCGACCTCCGCCTGACGGTGGCTTCCCAGGAGGCGCACTGGGCTCACCCGGTATCTCGATAGCCCTCGTAGCCTCGACTACGTATGCAGAAGAGGAAGCAGCACTCATTTGATCCGCCCGCCGGTGTATTGGCTCGAGTGTCGAGCAGTTCTCAGGCCGAGCTGCTCTTCAACTGCGCGGAGTCGTCGGCGTGGCACCGGTATTCTTGACGGAGGAACATTAGGATCGGGGTGCAAGTCTAACAAACATCTCAACGGAAGATCTGCCTCAATGGGCCATCGCCTCGAGGCACAGACGAAAATGATGACCTCCCGGGTCACAATACTGAACGACCTCATAGGAATGTATATTCCCTCGAGACCCTCTCCGGGATTTAAGTTGCAAGCCGGAAGTGCCCCTCCTATTCTGACAGCACCCAGAGAAGGTTCGAAGATCCGGATGGACTCGGGCTTCTTCGACTGACTACGGAAAGCCACATAGACAGGAAATGAACTGTCAACCGGCAGTTCTTGATCGCAGTCGCTTGGAAAATCCCGGAATCTGTGTCTTCAGTACACATACGACGAGATGTCGGGGGCAGAGCCAACTTTTATGTGCCCCTCAGGCGAACCAATTAACTGGTCTAATCGTTCTTCCTATCAGCGGTCAGACCGAATTCACGGGTATACGAGGTAGGAATCTCGGAAATCGCTAATCGAGGCTCCGTCAGTGTCCCCCGGCTTCGAAACGCGAAGCTCCCCATCCCTGACTGCGGTAGCGGCTGAAGGAGTCAGCGTAACACCCAACGCGATGTCTCAAACCATCAAGAAGACCGTTACTGATACCTAATTTCAGTAACGCGCTGCAGATAGCGAGCCCGCTTATCAAATCCACGAGTCGAATAACACTGAGGGAACAAAAAAATCAAGGTCGCACCCGATCTGACGACCACCGATTTTGACAGTGGCCCGACCGGGAATCGCAGGGGCTATCGGACGACCGCGCTTCATTGCGCTTTGACGATGTCGCATTCCTCCGTCCGTCGGTCGTTCTCGTTTCTTGAACTTCACTCAAAGGCACCTACTTCTCCGATCGTTCAGTTGTCACCGTTTCCCTCGCCGGAAAAGAGACCCATTCTTCGCCTGCTTTCGTTTTCCATAAAATCAGGAGCCGACACGCTCGAACTCCATTGGCAACTACTCTGTGAAAAAGATGAAACCGTGTCCAACTGTTGTTTTCGTGTTCCTAACTCTGCTCTCTGCCCTGCTGGTGCAGCAGAGTGAGCCGAAGAAACTTCTGAAACTAGCCGCCGCAGCGGCCATTCTTCGCGGTGGACCTATAATCCCAATACCTATACGGTATCCAGTCCACATACCGAAGGCGAAGGTCGTACACGTTCCCGTGCACCACGGCTACAATTACGGGCATGGCGGATACGGAGGCTACGGTGGAGGCTATGGCGGAGGATGGTGGTGATTCCGCGTGTCGGTCAATGTGACTGTTGTTGTGTTCAATCGTGATCTCGCCGTGAGTCCGTGTTAGTGTCAACTGATCCGGGAGTCGGTCACTTGTTAAGTCCATTACTCGAGACTACGCAGAGTGTAACGTCCCTCGTCTGGTCGCTGTATCTTGGTCCAGCATGTCACTTGGCGTTTGTTTATCCGTTATCTCGTATTTATTGTATAATAAAATCGTTACCGGATTCGAAGCACGTTTCCCGTCGTGTTCCTGTACGAAATCGGAAGGTAATGATTCTGAGACTCCCCAATGAGGCCGGCCTTCTCCGATCAGTGGCCCGACACTGATTGGGAATTCAATTTTTCATATCGGTGAAATGGTCCATGATCTCTCACTATTCCTAAGCTCCACGGAGGAAGACATCCAAGAAGCCTCACCCGGTACCGCGACAGGAGATAAATTAGAAATCCGCCCCCCCTTCACGGGAGGAGTCTCCCGCTCATGAGCGGATCGTTCCTAGCATGGCTGGTAGCGCTAAACTTCTTCCAAGAGCAGAAGAAATCTTCCAGCTGGGCAGTTCCATCAGAAAATAGTTCTCCCCGATACCGCTCGCGGTAAGGATGGGCTCGCTCGAGAGACCCGGTGTGGCCAGGAAGCTCATCGGATCGCGACCGAGTGGGATCGCGACCATGCGAGCAGCATCCCTACTCTGTCCAACTTTCCTCCAATCGTACTGCTCATCTCAACTCCACTTTTTCTCCCCGCACATCCCGTCTATGGGATGCCCTTCCTCCTCATGTCTTCCCTCCAACGTACGATCCGAAACTCTTCAAATCCAACACTATCCGCTCTCTCCCTTCAGGTAAAGAGCCATAGAATTTTTTAGTGGGTATTATGTACATGAGCCCCACACTCCGGTTGAATTTTCCACTCTTCTGGGTAGTGCGTCAATGCATTTTTTCCTATGGCTCTTTCACCTTTCCCCTCAGTCCCCCTCCCCCTTTTCGCACTCGCAGTTCCTTTTGAGAATTATAGGGTCACCCCTTTGCGAGCTGCTTCACCAAAAAAAATGTGGAGACACGGTCGTCCCTCAACGCCTAACTATCCCCCGAACATCGCCGAAAGATCCACTCCGGGGGCTGATGAGCTCTCAGTTTCCACCGAGCAAGCCGTGCGGCCAAGCGGTTCTTGTAGAAGCATGCAGAACCGCGGCTCCGAAATTCCCGCAGCTCACGCGACGATGACATTCCGGAACCCACTCACGCGGCGGTTCTCCGGTAACTTGAGAAGAGCACCACAGATATGCTCTCGAGATAGCTTATCGTACGTCACAGTGTCGTAGATCGGCGTGGACTTTGAAACGTGGTAGTATAATCAAGAACGCTCCATTCAGGCGACTCGTGTGCGCCTCTGACTGAATCAATCAATGAGAGGCAGCAGGGGCTGAATGAAAACTTCTCATGGCAAATAGAAATCGGGTAGCGGTCCCTGACTATTATCTATAGAACCCAAGCTCAACGATGCGGGAACACGCTATGAGGTCGATCGGTGTGAATCCTCGAGCACGTTACTGGACCGGAGCCCTTTCATTGAGCCTACTGACAGTCTACCGTAGCCGTCTACGGTAGGCTGCCGGCTCCCAGAGTGGCGGAAAAGCCCAATTAAAGCTTAAATAATCTTTATGCTTCGATTCCGAGGAAATTGGTCATCAAGATACGCCGAAAGAGCAATCGACAACTTGTAGCTTGGACAGCCTTCGTAATTTAGAATGCCCTTTCCGCCGGAGCTTTTTACAGCCCCCAATATTCCAGCGATCGTCGCCTCACGAGAAGGAATTCTCATCCTCGAGAGAGAAATCGTATATCGTGGTCATCAGGGAATCATTTTAAGCGGGTCGCCAGGGCGAGGGAGGCTCCTAAGGATATCCGGGCCGGGAGCACGGTGACTTCGGTCTGGCCGGAGCGAATCCGAATCATCTCCGAGTCCATTAATCGGAAAATGAGAAACATATGCAAAATCTGACGAATCGCGCAGGATCTTTCACTTTATTCACATGCTGACTCATCTTCATCAATCTTTCGCCGCTTTCCGGAGCGGAACAAATCCACGGACACAATCTCTCGGTCACGAAACCTAGTTCCGAAACCGACTCCTCTAGTCCTCAGGCCAGTCCACAATCACACCAGACACAAGTGCCACGGTTGGCAAAATTACAACAAACTCCGACCTGAGCAACACGAACGCACAACCTTGACGCTTGTCACATATTGAGAACGTTGGGTGCAATATAACCCACTAGACAATCGACATGGCACGCAAAGTTTACAGAGATCATCGAGACAGGGAACAACTTGATTCCTTCCCAACAATCATGGGGATCGTCCCCCACATACGGTCACCACGCTCCCTCGAAACCGTGGTTACCGAAATGGTTCAACCCAGGGACATGAGATCCGAATCCATGCAAGGGTCCATGGAGAGAGGTATGAGGGAAATGCGTATCGTGGGGTATGTGCAGAGGCAGGTGATGGTGGGAGGGAACATGGCTGTACGTTGCATGGGGCGGACGCACTGGGTATCTGATGGGCACGGGTATGATCGGGCCACCTCGAACAATAGCGGCAAGAGCGGCCAACTTCAGCAGACCCCGCTGAGCCGCGCATCGCACGCTGAATAGTCCGAGCAGCAGAATGCCTCTCAGTAGAAGTTTTCGAGCACTGACTTTCATTTTGGAGGGGTCTTCCCTAGTGTTCTTCAACTCGGCCGGATAGTACCGCTTCGCAAACGATTCTTCCGGTTCTTATATTTTCAAATTATTGATGCAACAACTCATATCATCTGCCGCCCTCTCTTGAGAGAAAGGCGGAGTTTTCCTAGATGTGGCTTCTCCAGAGGGATAGCCGTTGCTGAAATCCGCAATTGGATTAGCCGGGAGAGGAAAAGTGACTTTCGTTCTCCCACGTGATTCCAATCAGAACCACTCACGCTAGGTGGGGATCTTATGCTTCAGTCAACGCAATCGCTCCTCTTTTTTTGCAATGACGAGAGATTCTGTCAACATCCGAGTCTCAATCGTAACGGCACAAAAGACCTTGAAACGTCTTGATGACCTAGTAGTTGGAAGTTCCACGCGGAAAATTCGGAAAAAAAACTCAATCTGGATGCGAATTCGGCGCAATGAGCTATCAAGATGAATGGAGCAGCGAATCCGAGTAACTGATCACTTTCAGATACCCCGCGTGATGCTCTTTGATAGTTCCATCCATTGTTTGCGCAGAGTGCGGAGCAAAACGTGGAAGAACAGATACATGATGCCAACGAGCGAGTCGGACGGGCTGTCATCACAGTCAACAAGATGAGAGATTCTAACATCCTCCTCAGACCGATCAACGAATGATCTTTCGGACGTGTAGTTATTCTTTGAATCACACGAGAACCTTCTCAGCTCATTCCCTTCTCATCTACGGGCAGCCTCAGGCAGAATCAGTAAATCTCGAGTCCATTACCTGGCGCCGACTTCGATGGGAGAAACGACCTGACTCCCTAATTTCACACCCTCTCCGCAATAACCGGGGATTCAACCTGAACGATTTCGCTCGGACAAACCGATCAAATTCGAAGGTTTGCTCGATAGTCCGTGATTCGAGAGAATTCCATCTGTTTAGATGGTCGATGCAGCTGAGCAACCAATTTCCCTAAGCCTTCGGCTGTCACACAGTTCTTTTTCAAGTCTGATCGATACTTCAGGTAACAAATTTCTTGCATCGATGTCCATGCCTACTAGAGCAGCGAAGCGGAGCTCTTCACGAGCTAAGCGCGCGGTTTATGAAAATTAAATCGTACTCGATTGGGAGCCGAACTCACCAGACCCACACCACGAAGAGCACATCCGGTAGAGCACTTAGGACTTGGAGGTACCTCCAATCTCTGATGTTATAGGTGATCACAGGATACATAATCAATCCGATGAACCACCCGAACTCTCCGCTCATGGCGACCATGGCGCGCTTTTGAGCGCCAACCGACTCGATCGCTTGGAAATTATGGAACCCAGGAATTAATGTCAGGCATCATAATTTTTCCCACCCCAATATTCTTCGAATGGCATCTGTCAATCTCCGGATCATACTCACCGAGTGTATAGGTACTCGCCACTACCGCGGAAGTGAGGAAGCGGAAGAGAGAATATGCCCAGAACGAAGTGGTGAAGGCCGCAGCCAGGCCCGTGATGAGCGACAGAGTGTGCGCGATCAGAATGCAGCGTCTCCTCCCGTACCAGTCGGAAACCATGGACACGAGAACCGACCCTAACATACCTAACATCATGATACTTTGAGAGGTATCCGGTTGCCATTCCCTACCACACACGGCGTCCCACTGGAACACATAGCATAAGAAGTGCATTTGAGTTCGGGATCAGCTCCGCTCGACGATCCCCAAATCTGACAATGCACGTGACGAGTGAAGACGGCCTCACCTCTTCGATGAGGGTCCTTCGATGGTAACTGTGGTCGTATTCCCATGCATTACAGGGGACACTGACGTTCTGGACAACATCTAGCACGTTGCACTTGAGATCAACTCCTGAATTCATGGCTCTCCATTCATCCACCGATATCGAGCTGTTCGGCCGAGCGCACCAGTAGTCGAGATTTTTCGGTGAGGTGAACTGATTGGACATGATCCGCCACGGATAACCGAAACCTCCGAAGGCATTGATGATCAGAATGGGATAATGCCATGGACCCGTTTGCTCGAGGATGTGCTCCATTATGTTACAGCTCACAACTTCTCCGCGCCACAAAAAGGCTTCGACGAGCAGTCACAGATCGAGAAGCGATTGCTCGCGCAGGGATCGAGGGCAAAGAGAGCGTCGTCGCAGCGATGCGGCGCAGCCGTCATCACGACACACCGTGAACCGCAAGGGATTAGGAGGGAGTCCGTAGCTTCTATTAAGTGGGGCAATTGAGGATGCGACAAAGGACGCAGGAATGAACCTGGGCAAGGATCGTCCTCCCTCCGTCCCACACCTCAGATTTTAGAACAATTCTTTTCGTTCTGTCGGCTCGCCACCTCCCCGAGGATGTGACTCTTCTCCATTGCTCGCCTCTCTCCATGAGCCGCATCCATCCGCGTCCACAATTGAAATCAAGCCGGCATAAGCAATCCGTCGTTGAGTGCATGTCACCTCTTCCCTGGTTCGAAATCTTCCCTACACTCTGAAATTATAGAGTTTTCCCGCCGCCACCACCCGTAAGCTCAATGAGGATCATGGAGACCCAGGCCAGGAAGAAGCTCCGTTTCCCGTAGTTTTCGATTTCATCGTTTACGTTCGCTATGTCAAATCATGCCGACAGCTCATGGCCGACATCAGATCCCTCTAACTGCACATCCCACGGAAGCAATAGCAGTTCAGCGTCTCAGGAGGTTTTTCCAAGTCTTTTTGCGACACCGGCTTCGCTTGGAAAATAACTTCTCATTTCAAAAGTTCAATCAGTAGCGTGTTGACTTGATCCATCTAGATCGGAGAACAAACGGTATTGAACCATGAGAGATCTTTCTCAATCAGAAGTTTCCAAAGCTCGCTGTGCAACGATCCGCTAGGTGGAGCATCTCGCCGCTTAATCGTGATGATTCGCGTGGGGAGAATGAGCTCACCTTGAAATTCTGCTTGAAAAACGTAGCCGATTGTTTATCATTGGAGCGTTACAAGAGGCGGACCGCTTGAATCGCATTTCGGGCGGTGATGGTCTTTGATCATGATCGAGCAAAAAGCTTGAGGTCGTTACGATGATGGTCTCGGGAGCACATGATTTTGCCGGAACATTCATAGCTCAGAATCTATAGCCGGTATCTCGAGTATAGGCACATGACCGGCATCAACCAGGCGATCGTGAACGCCCTGAACGCTGGTGAAGAAAACCTTCCTTCGAGCCGAGAGTCGGAATCCTCGACAGGCGTACCGGGATGCAGTTCGATTCGAACGTAATTTGAGACATCTGCATGCGGAAACCACTCGATGGAGCGATGGAACTCCTGAGTCAATTCCCTCGAATCCTGTTGGGTCCGAGATGATTCCGAGTGCACCAGTCTGCCCAAAAGAAACATTTTCATCTTGGGGGAAGTCTCCGGCGCCTGACCTCCCGGTTCGGATGATCTGTCGTCTCTTCGTCGGACATGGTCCGGGATCTGATTCCGAGAATTCTCGCGGTCGAGGCTTCGGGGATGTCAGAATGCTCGATAGACGTTCCATAGAGCCAAGTTCTCTTCGAAGTCAAGTCCTATTGAATGAAGGCCCATCCTGACTTCCATCGGTATGCGGAACGTGTAGTGATAGGTTCGGGAAAATCCGGCATGGTGGCACGCATCGCCGCGCGCCGCTGTTAGGGAGCCGAAGGAGTCATCAGCATATGGTCTTAGACTTCCATGGGATTATGTTGGGTGAAGCCGACCTTTGTTTGCTTCCAAAAGGTCGAGGTATCTTCGGAGTCATTGTACTCGTGACACATTCGATCCTTCGCCACAAAGCAGAATCATTGACGCTGGGGAGGGGGGTTGGATGGGAGATTGATGAAGGCGATCCCATCGCATATGCTCCGAAATTCGGGAAATCGCGAGCTCGCGTCCAGCGCAAAGTTGATAGAAGGCGTCGAAGGCTCAGATAAGTAGCATCGGAAGTCGCAGGTGCGGATTCTATCGTTGTACTGATTTCCCTGCTCTGTAAACTTTATCATTTGCCAGATCGCATCCCGATTCGAGATCGCGGCTCCCGCGGGCCACAATTAAATGCAAAGGCAGTCGCCGCCTACAGATTCATGCAAACGCCGATATAGGAAAGCAGTTCGAAAGCTGTGCACGGAATGCTAAAATTGTTGACCATCGACGGCCATCCAAAACGCCATCACAACGATCACGACCGGAATATCACAGGTGAGCGGCTGCCGAGATTCGGGATAAGCATTTTTCCATTGCGAGAGGAAGCACTTCCCCGGACTACAAGGTCGAATGAGTACTGGGATCAATGGAGAAGAGTCAGAAAGCGTCTCAGCGACGAGGAACCCTATGGTCGTATAGGTTTTTATCGCGGAATAAGATCGACTATTTCGAGTCCTCTCATCCCCTGCCGGGGAGTGCATTTCGACGAGACACCTCTCGGCTCCGATGAAAGCAGCTCATGATACGATTCGGAGACTTCCTCCATCGTCTCTCGAGATGTTCATACTAGAGAGGAATCACTTTAGATAGCGGTAGTAGACGTTGTGACCGCGGTCAATCGGTCAAGGCAGCATCGAGGATCGAGCGCAGCTGACTACTCGGGCTGTGCTCATTCTGAAAGTCTTCACGCTCGTGCTGAGCATCAAACAGTTTTATCCCGAAGAGTTGTTGAATTAGAGTCGATTGGATGCTGTAGAGTGTGTAGAGTAGAGGACCTAAGTTACCCTTCCCGATCGATCAATGGCTTTACCGCCATCATCCTCTGAATGGTGCAATGCGTCAATGAGAGGAATCTCATGATTATCTGTATTTCCACGATATTCTTCCATCCGTGGTTCCACGATATTCTTCCGGAAGACCTTCCTACCGTTTGTCAGACTTAAAACGGAATCCGATTCCCGGGCTACCGTCGGTCCATGAGCAGGACCGTGGGGGTGCCAATCACAACAATGAGCTCTTCCGAGCCATCGTGAGTCGCGTCACCTGTATCTTCTGCCCAATCACTCGATGGAACAGACTAGAGACTAGAGTCTTGGAGGAATCTCGTCGGAAAGCCAGGGAAATCCTCGAGGTATGCTTCTTTGAGTCCATGGGAATCAGCCAAATAATAAGCGACCTTCGTATTCTCCGGAGAGGTTGAGCTAGTGATTTCGATATCCCACTGAAGCTTACATGACACGGGACGGTCTGACACTGGATGCGGTGGCGTCCTCCGATTCGTGCACAGATTCATCACCTCGTAGCAGGCTCGCAAGATGCTCCGCGTCCCGCGCCGGAATGTCCCGAGCAACTACTCTTCAGTGAGCCTTATAACGTGAATAACCTAAAAAAGCGGTTCTAAACCTGGGTTCCGCAAGCCTCTGCTCGGCTGCTCAGACTTTCATTCATTTCATCGAATCGGCATGAATTTTCTGAGCTCGAATGCATGCAGAATACTTCATGCGATCGAGGTCAAAGGTTTTGAGGTGGAAAAGACGGAAATATAGAAAGATAGAGTCCGAGACCAACGATGAGGGTTCCGCAGGACAAAATGGTTAAGAACCCCCGCCCTAAAATACGCTACCTAAGCTAATATTCGACCGGGGAGGTTGTGAAGAGAGTCGTAACTCTCGATACTCTGCTTTGTATACGTTTAGATTGATGAACATTATCGCCGCTTCTATCGGGGCGACCTGACGGCTGGTGCTCATTGTATATGTAGCCCACATCGATTGTCTATCTTTCACTGGATGAGGTCTCGTGGGCTGATCTTTCAAGGAAGAAGAAAAGGGCGGAGTGAAATTCCTGATCCCTAGAAGCGAGAATCTGTCCGGATCGTAGGATAATCCCAGGACCTCGGAGCTTTCGACGAGTCTTGTTCGGAGCCTAGGAACGGCTCATCGATGTCGAACAATAATCATTGGAGCTGACGAAGCGCTGCGCGACCCATATCTCGCTCTCGTCGGTGTGACTGGCAGGCAAAGACCACCAGAATCATTGCTTTCGGAGAAGACGAATCCCGCTCCTTTCGACCTCAGGCTTTCGTTGACTTCTGCTGGCCTCACGGTCCCCCGTATACTCTATAAGTAGAACGGCCATCGATACGTCTGGCCGTACGAGAAGAAATCCATTTCAGGCTTGGCGCTTGTGACTTGTGAGGAACGGGTAGTCGAGCTTGGCGCTGACCCTCCGGCAGCGCCCCCTACAAACAAAGAATTTCTCCAACGGCGATCTCGAACCGCGGTGTCAGAGAAAAAAGGCGGTTTTTAAGTATTTGACAGATATCGCTAAGAAGGCGAATCCTGATCCTGTTAAAAGTGGAGCGTAATCGTAGAAAACGGTAAATTAGTCTTGCTGCTGTCAGTACTCCGGCTGGTGGCTTGCTCTGGTCGGATAACGGCTCCTTCTGAGCGATGTTCGGTGGAACGATTGAGAACGACAACTTTCGGGGCTCGATCTGGAGAAAATCGGCGAGGATGAAGAACTCTCGAATTTTTTTCAGACTCATGGCCGATAACTCAGAATGTCCTCCGAACAAGAAAAGGACCTCGAACTCCCGCAGAACCGAAGAGGTAGATCTCCGGCGGAACTTGTCATGTCTCAAGCTGTCGTCGGATATTCGTGTCCACAAGAGACGTTGGGTTGACGTCGAATAATTCAGATTCGATCCTTCCAGTCCATGAGCAGTGCCGGTGATGCGGAAGAAGCGGACGTATCGAAACGAGCGCGTAGGGTAAGTCTTTCAGACCAAGTCTCAGAGTTCACCGACGGTGTTAGATGGTGGCTGTGGAATCTTTTCATTCATTTAACTTCAATCGCAAACGCTCTCCACGATCAGAGCACGCGGTCGAGGCTTCCTCTCGCGGGGAACTCACTGAAGCCTCCGGAAGGATCCCAAGCAGACAACAGCACCGACGATCCGCTGGTTCTGGAACTGAACGAAACGGGCGAGGGACCGTCGGAATCGCAGGAGCCTGAAAGAGCGGATGCCACCCAGGGTGCGCCCGAGCCCGAGGTTTTCGCAGAAAAGCCCTCTCCAACGGAAACTTCGACCACCGGCAACCACCCAGTACAGTCTCCGACACCACCGGAAACCCAGCCCCGGAGTCAGAGTGCAGCTGAGCAATCGCGCCAACTGCAAAGTTTGGAGGGTGCGAGACAGACATCGCAGAAAACCGTTGAAGCCGTATTCGCAGACTGTGAGCGAGATGAGGACGGTGGAATCAGTGAGTTTAATCGGTTTTTCTCCCGTAGAGGTCGGAGATACCTGGACTGCTCCGAACGACTAATTGACTGAAATCACTCGCAGAAATCGGCGACATCTACCTTCCGCCGCCCCCTCCACCCGCGTGCACGTTCGACGCGAAGGGACCTCGGCTGATCATTTCGAAGATCGAGAATAGCTTCTTCAAGAGCTACGGAAAGAACGTCACCATAGGTCCATTGCATAAGAACTACTCGGCGATCGTTGGCCCGAACGGAAGCGGGAAGAGCAACGTCATCGACTCGATGCTTTTCGTCTTCGGGTGGGTTCCTCGGTTTTGTGCCACATAGGCCGGATCCTAAAATGATAGTCAATACGCATTCTTGACGATGGGATACAGGAGTCACAGTAATTTGTATCCAGAAGATCGCAGAACGTCTTAATTTCTCACGATTCGTGTTTCAGATATCGTTCGAAGAAAGTACGAGCCCAGAAAGTTTCGAATCTCATTCATAATTGCGATGTGCACAAAACTATTCCTCGCTGTAGCGTAGATGTGCATTTCGAGACGATTATCGACCGGGGAGATGCAGGATTTGAAGTAGTACCGAGTGAGTTTTGCTCATCGTCACGACATTTCTAATCAGGTCGAATCCTGGATGGGAACGCGGCTCAATCCTGTTTCGATCGCCTCGGCTGAATGAGTTTCCAACCATGATCTGAACTGAGATTTCGAACCATTTTTTCAGATTCCCATCTGGTCATAGGTCGTGTAGCTCATCGAGACAGCTCATCGTATTACACCATCAATGGCATGCAGGTCTCACAGAAAGTGGTTACCCGGACTCTTCGAGAGAAGGGTATTGACATCGACCACGACCGTTTCCTGATCCTCCAAGGTGAAGTAGAACAAATATCCATGATGAAGCCTAAGGGTGAGAACGAAAATGACGAAGGCATGCTAGAGTATCTTGAAGATATAATCGGAACAAACCGATACAAGGAGCCTATTGAGAAATTCGTGAAGAATGTTGACGAGCTGCAAGAGGAGCGCAACCGAGCGCTGGACAGAGTACAGATGGCAGAACAGGACATGCAAGGTACGAAGAAACTCAGGGACGAAGCTCTGGAGTTCATCAACCTCTGCAATGATTTGGTACGCTGCGACCACAAACTCTACGCCATCAAGGCACTCAACGAATCGGAAAAGAAAGCCGGCATCGAAGCAAGATACAACGAGGAGAATGAAGCGTTGGAAAAATTAATGAAGAAGATGGATGATTTTGTCAAAGAGAATGAAGAGCTCACCGTGAAGCATAAGGCTCTCTGCCGCGAAGAAGCCGACGCCGTCAAGAAATACGAGGATCTCCAAGCTCAGTACAGAGAGCTCGAGAAACAAGACGTCAAGTGCAGAGAAGACGTGAAGCACGGTAAAACGGCCATAGCGAAACTTGAAAAGGATCGGGAGGCTCAGACGAAGAAGATCGAGGTGAGTTCCCTCTCCTCGCTGTGACCGAGATAGAATGGCTTTACCTTCTGAGAAGGACACTCGCCTCAATTTCCCCCATTCCGTACTAGAAACTCAAATCCGAAACGGAGAAACTACCTGAGGAGAGAGCGAAAGCCGAGAAGGATGAGGAAGAACTGACTGAAAAGGTTGCGGCCCTGAAAACAGACCTGCATTCGAGAATGGAGGACTTGAACAAGAAAGTTTCCCCCATCCAAGTAAGTGTCGCGGGATTCTAACACACGCTCATTAAGCGCACCTTGCGAAGATCTCCTCGACAGATCCCATCGATATGTCTCACACACTCTCTTCCAATCCAGACTCAAAAAGAGTCCCTTGAGAAGAAGCTCTTGGAACTGCAACGATCGGTGAATACAGCGAAATCGGCATTCACAATGGCTCAGGTGGAACTCGACGTTATGACGTCTTCAGAAAGGAACGAGAAAGAAAAGCTCGAGGCCAGCACTAAGCAATTAAGTGAAGCCGAAAAGGACTTGGTCGAGAAAGAACAAGCAGCAGCTAAGCTGAACGAAGCCCTTCCCAAGTACAAGCAGGTGAGCTCGCTATTAATTGAGCGGCCATACCAAAATCTATTCGCGAAGTCATTGCTCAAGCTCCGATTCCAATTTGCACCTGTCTCCAGGAGTTGGAGAAAGTTCGAAGCGATCTCGCTAATGTCGACAAAGAATATGAGCGCTACCACAGCAAGCTGAATCATGACCTCATGAAATTGGAAGAGATGAAAGTATCCAACGCTGCAACACGGAGTAATAATCGGCTCCTCGACGCGCTCATGTCGGAAAAGCAGAGATCCCTGAAAGGTGTTGTCGGTCGGCTCGGAGATCTCGGCGGAATCGATAAAAAGTGCGGAAATCTTCATTGCGAATGCATGAGACCACTGATTTTCTAAAGAGGGAAGATCTTCTAGTTTCGCCTTCTCCAAACCATGCCAGGTACGATGTTGCGATATCGATGTCCTGCGGATTGCTGGACTCAATAGTGGTGGATACAACTCAGACCGGTAAAGCTTGCATCAAGTTTCTCCAGAGGAACCAACTCGGAAAAGCGAACTTCCTAGCTTTGGAGAAGATGCAACAGTGAGTTTAATCACATCTGGGATACAATCCATATGTCCCTCCCACTGTCTCTGGAATATTATAACCTCCTAGATTGGGCAATCAATGCTCTCTCTAACTCCAATCTAAACAACTTCCATTAGAGGATCCCGGATCAGTCTTAGGATCTGGATTTTTCTTTTTCGGTCTCTCTTCTTCGGTCCTCGATGATCTGCGATTCATTATTAATAATCAGAGCTCGTGTATCTGAGCATTCATGATTTCTCCATCAATTATCAATCAGGGATCAGTTTTCTTTTCCCAATGCTTTTTATTTTTTTCCCGTTGGAAAGAGCATGAGAAGAATCGGAAGACAAATTGGAGAAAAATATTCATCAATTATTATCAATGATCAATGAAAGAGTGATAAATGCTCAAAACACCGGGCTGTTAATCATCATAATCATTGATCATCGATCATCGATCATCGATCATCGATCATCGATCATCGATCATCGATCATCGATCATCGATCATCGATCATCGATCATCGATCATCATATATCATATCGATAGTGATGAATCAATGTTTTTTTACCATGGTTCTGTTTCAGCCTCATTGGACAAGCTCAACAACGGATCAAAACTCCCGAAAATGTGCCTCGTCTCATTGACTTGGTCCAAGTTTCCGACCCGCAGTATCTTGGTGTGTTCTACTACGCACTAAGAGACACACTCGTGGCCGATGAGATCGACCAAGCGACCCGGGTAGGATTGCATGGCCAACAGAGATTCCGAGTGGTGACTCTGAGGGGGGAAATCATCGATCCTAGCGGTACCTTGACTGGAGGAGGCAATCGAGTCGTTTCTGGAAAGATGGGTACCAAGGTCAGTATAGACTGGAATACGATTGCCCTCATATCGGATGCCCTGCTGCACTCCCTCGTGTGATTCATGAGTTTCACTCGAATTCCTTAAAACGAGCAGGCTAAACTAGACACCACGATCGATCAAGAGGAAGTGGATGCCCTAGCCGCCGCTGTACGCGATGTAGAGCAGAAAGTCACCGAGCTGGGCAACAAGAAGAACGATCTTGAGAAATCGAGCTACCAGAAGAAGAAGGACTTCGAACAAGTCCAACAACAGCAGCAGAAAGTTTCTTTCGAGATTGAAAATCTCACTCAGAGCATCAGTTCCCTCAAGATGGGAATCAAAATACAGGTCAGATCATAAGACGTGGTGGTCGTCAGCAGCCGCCATTGGTCGAGTCTTAACATCTTAACATCTTCATCGAGTCCTAACATTCGCGACTTCCGTTCCAGCAAGCGTCGGTCAAGGAGAAGACGGTCGATAAGGCCAAGCTGGCGAAGCAACAGGAGAAAGTTGACGAGACCAAGGAGGCCTACGAAGCTGCGGTTGAGTCAACGGAAGAAGATCGCCAAGCGATCGAGAAACTCGATGAGAAGATCAACAAGATCAAGTAAGATATCATTCGGACGAGAATCCTCATTCTTCTCGCCGTCGACTTTAATAGAAAATAAGGACAGTCTTAAATCGGTTCAATGTGTACCCTGTGGAAGTTATGCAATAGACGTAAGTTCCCAATTTAAATTAAATGGGAAAGCCTAATCGGATGGACAATCCAGGGAGGAGAGCATCGGCGACGTGAAAGCGAAGCTTGAGGACGCGCAGGCGAAACTCCGCAAAGCCAGTTCGAAGAAGACCGAATGCCAAGTCGGCATGAACAATTCCAAGCGGAAGATCGACCAGGCACAACAGAAATTCGAAAGCATCGAAGCTGAACTTGTCAGTGTCCGAGAGCGCCGTAAACAGAACCTCGAATTATACAATGAATTGACGGCTCAGGGAAGCGAGCTCCGAGACCAGATAGAGGCGATAACTGTGAGTTAGTCGTTGATGCGATTATCCCTTCCCCGATGTCGACCCGATTTCACGATATGAATCCAGAATATCGTTTCGAGGAACTCCGAATTTTCTCTAACGGCTTCGTCTTTCATCGTAGGAAAGCAAGCAAGCGCTATCGAATCAAGTTGCTGAGTCGGCGCGAAGTCTCCACGAGTTCAATAAACAGGAAAATAAGTTGAAGATCCGTCAGATTGAACAACAGAATATCGTAAAGGATTTATCGAAAGAGCTGGAACAGTGTTTGAGAGCCGTTGAGCATCTCCAGCAGAAAATGAACGGGTATGACTATTCAGATTGACTTGTTCCATTGCCTATGACTCCTCGATCAGTCTCCTTGTCCTCACTGACGAACCACCGTCTCAGCTTGCGCCTGGAGGTCGTTGACGATGGGGACGATGAGAGCGCTGAGTTGGTTCAAAACGAAGCTGCCCTCAAAGTACCTGAACTCGACTCGGAATCCGTCAAGTCTCTGGACTTCAACGAAATTTCGCAAGAGAAAGCCGATTTGGAGGAAAGGAAGAAAGCGCTACGTCCTAACTTGAACTGCATCCAGGAATACAAGAAGAAGGTTAGCTCCCTCACTCTATCAGAAGATCCGAACTCACGAGATCAGGATAGGTGATTTTTTCGTGCTGGTTCACTCGATACTGACCTTGACTCGATTCTCGCTAGATGGGTCACTATCGGAAACTGTCCGAAGTTTATCTCGGGAAGCAGAAAACTCTGGATACCCATAAGGGCTATCTTCAGGCTTTGAAGAAAGCCCGACTGCAAGAATTCATGACTGGCTTCAAGATAATCACTCAGAAAGTCAAAGAAATGTACAGAACTTTGACGCTCGGAGGAGACGCAGATCTAGAATTGGTAGACTCTCTGGATCCCTTTTCCGAAGGAATCGCCTACAGGTGAGAGACGACCGCGGGATCCCTCGGGACTTTCCCTCGTCGGAAAGAGGAAATCGCCGTATAGCTCCGATTGCTTTGCTAGTGTTTTTTTCGCATCTTCAATTGGACCGAATCCCTTGCAGTGTGAGACCACCCCGCAAGACATGGAAAAACATTTCGAATCTCTCAGGTGGAGAGAAAACTCTTTCGTCGTTAAGTTTGGTCTTTGCTCTTCATTACTACAAACCTGCACCGTTCTATGTGATGGACGAAATCGACGCTGCCCTGGATCACAAGAACGTGTCGATCATAGCGAACTACATTAATGTAAGCTCGGCAAATCAGTATTCGATTCGACACCGAATGAGCAAGCACGTCAAAGTTGAACTAACCCGAATATTTGCAGGAACGCACGAAAAACACTCAATTCATCATCATCTCGCTTCGGGACGAAATGTTCTCTCTCGCTAGGAAGCTAACCGGCATCTACAAGCCATACAACGACACGAGAACTCTGACCCTTGATATCGACAAATTCGTTTCTGACGTCAACAAGGAAAACGCTCCGGCGAACGTCGCCGACAGCTGATACATGAATAGTTTTTTAAGCAGAATGTGAGACGAGCTCCGGTCGACCTTTTCATAAAGGATGACACTTATTCTTCTAGATCTGAATTCTCATTGGTTCAGGAGTCGAGGGAAATCCGCGGTCGGTATCGCCTCGGGAAAATTCGTTCTCTTATCTCGGAGGTCTCATTGCCCCGCAGCCATAGGCTCCCCTGCTCTCGCATGCGTGCCTGCGTTATTCTACTGACAGCGGAGTTTCGTTAATTCTGAGAGGACCGGTTGCAGCGGCTTCTAGAAAAAAGTTTGGAATGTTCGATAATAATTGATGATTCATAGTCGGAATCATGTCCTGATTCTCGATGCCATATGAAATGGGATGGATTTTTTTTGCGGCAAAGTATCGCTGAAATCGTGGCGAGTTGCGGGAAGGAGAGTCGGAATTCGCGGGAGTCCCCAATTTCTTTCGAGATCGCAGAAAATTGCGAAATCTGCTTCCGAAAATGTATAAGCTCCACCTTCGTGGAAAGTCTTGATCCGACTCCGGGTTGTCCGAAGGAAGTTCGATTCATATCGAGAGTACAAATGACGAATTCAGAGGGAATCGCTGAAAAGCGTCAGGAATCGCACTTTCCGCAAATTTCGCGGGGGCCGCGAAAAAAATGAGTCCTCGAAAATGACTCATCGATTGGTCAACCCCAAGGCGTGAAGGCCAATAAATGTTGGAATTTAATCGGAGAGGACGATCGACGTTCAAGTCGTTCATACGACCCTACGTGTCCCCACGCTCAGAGCTTGCTCATCGTAGGAGAATGGCCTCTGATTCTTCTTCTGAGAACATGGTACCCACGAGCTTACGAGAGTCGGTCAGGCAAACAATCGCGACCTCGGGTTTGGGCTGAGCTACTCGAAATTCATTACCCCCTCGGCTTCGTGAAGCTTTTCTCTCGTTAAGCGACCGTTCCGTGAACGAATCCGGTGGAAATTAACGCCGAAGCTGCCCGAGACCTCTCTCAAATATTTATCGAAATTCCAACTAAGAGCAACAATAATACATCACAGGTTCGATCCTCTCAGCATAAAGGACAGCAGGCGATTCATCGTCGTCTCATAAGGATCCGTCACGACTCCCGCAGTCGAACGCTCAAGATCTCGGATCTGCGCATATACCGGCAAAGGTCACCATATCCTTCCCCGACAGGATCCAGAAGCAGAACGGTTTGCTTAAACGCAGGACGAGCACAGGCCGACTCCGAGCTCGGGGGCATTTGAATCCGAAATTGAAGAGACTAGCTTCGCTCCGTGTCTCGCTTACTTCTATGACTGCTTTGTGAATGATGTCGCTGACACAGGGCTGGCTTTCAACCTGCAAGCGACGCGATATCAAGCGCAGATCGGGAGGTCCGGTCGTCTTCAAAGTCGCAGTGAGGGGACTACGAACACGAACTCACCTTGGAAAAAAGGTTCCCCAGATTACACTCGCCGGGGACAAACATTTTTTTGACGCCGAGGTCCTTCAAGTACTCCGGGATGCTGTCGAAGTTGTACTCGATTCTGAACTGGGGCATCGTGAGCAGAACGGTGATTCCCGAAGGCTTTCCCACGCTCTCAATCGTTGAGGCCAATTCAAACATCGAAATATCAGCGATCACTTCGTCTGACAAATTGTGGTTATGTAATTGAGAATTTAATCTCTGTTTACGCCTCAATCACCAAATTCAGTCTCTGGAGCACGGAATCGTGATCTCTACGGGCAGAAAAGGAGCCTGAAGATAAGGCTCAAGAAGGATGAAGGTAATTATAATCGACGAGCAGCTGCAGGTACCGATATGCTTTCTTTCGTCTTTCGGGATCGCCGCAATCATGGAAAATCCCTTTTCTTTATACGGGATTCTAATGAGACGGAGCTTGCTTGTTTCTCTGTAGCTGAAGGTTCTGGATTTCAAGCTCATGAAATCAACCTCCACCCTCTCCCCGCTGCGGAGCTCGAAATAGTTCCTTTGTCCGTCTGTGTCGAACTTCCGCAGCCAAATTCCTAGAATTATCGAGACGACGATCGTCTTCAAGCAACCCTCAATCTCCTCTTGAGCTGTATCATTCCCTCTCTCTCGGAGAGCGTCAGTTCCTGACAGAGAGACAGCTTTACCTTTGAAATATATCGCGTTGAGAAACACCAAAATATTGTCTTGTCCCAAACTATTCTCAGCTAGGACTTCCTCAATTTTCTTGTTGGTTTTCTTCGCCACCCTCATATTCACGCACTTCTCGATAGCTTTTGCATCCTTCGAGAAGTCCACCGAGCCGACGTCAGCTCTGAATCTCGACTGGAATTGAATATGATCTCATATTGTATGGGTCTCCCGAGGTCTTGCTTCACCACCACTAGACGTTCCCACGATATCCTTCCTGATCACTGATCAGCCTACCTTCAAGAGCTTCCCAGTATCCTGGCGGAAGTCGCACTTCGAATCAGCCAAGATCAAGTTTGCTATCTTCAGTGGTGATCTGCGGCTGCCGATGAGAGTCGGTAGCACGGAGTGGAGAGCCTTCTCATCAGGAGCCTTCAGGCACTCCAAGATTTCGGTCCTCGCCTCCCCGTCCAAGCCGATCGTGACCATTGCGAAGCAAGCAGTCAAACTCGACGGAGAGACCACAAAATTGCCCTTCTCGCGGCGGCAAATCCTCTGGAGCAGCGATGAGCTCAGGAAATACTTCGAACCACACTCCATGCTCGTCCGAGTCGAGTGGAAGGGATTGTCTGATGGTTTATTCGGGGTTTGCGGCAGTCGTCGGAGTTGGGCTCTTCAGGTTCTGGATCTCATCTCTAGAAAGGGGCTGCGTTTCGCCGGAAAAATCTAGTCAGAGACAGATTAGCGACCGAAAGCTCTCTATTTTTCCCGTCTTCAGCCATCATTCAGTGCTCGGTATTGCCCCGAGATCTCTCAAATCATCACGTCGTCGACTTCTGATGTTTCACAAGCCTACGATCGATATACGAAATACGAATCACAAGTCTTGAGGGTCATGCGGTCATTGGTCATAAGCAGATATTGACGCCATTCGTTTGGCGTTGCGGCGACGGCTCTTGCGAGAACCGTACATACGAGCGGGATGGATATTATAAAGCCCTTGAGGAATATATTAAAACAAGTTTCGCTTCGGAGCGGCCTCCGCGGGATGCCAAAAGTTACCGAGCGCGATGATCAAGAGGGACTGGCGGCACGTGGATTGCGAAACGATGCTCGGTCAAGACAAGACTTGACCCTCTAGCCTCCGAGCAGAGGTAGATCGACTGTGAAATATACCCATCGCTTTATTTTCACCTCTGGCTTGCCCCCGCAGCCTCCGTGGTGAAGTACCTACTTCAGAGAAAACGGACAGCCAGTGGCTCCGGAGCGTAAATGACTGAGCCGGAACACCTCCGGGTAGACGAACAGCTGCGGCCGCCGTCACGTCAGCGTCGTCTCCCCAGAGGGCGGAGGGAGCCTGGCAGAGATAGATTTTCCCCCTGGCGTCTTCGATAGATTTTCAGACGGATTGGGGACTCTGGGATTGTCGACATGGGTTTCGACAACTGGCTCGCCTCTCCATCTGCAGGATCCTAGGTTTCTGTTCCCCGGCGTCTAATTCCTCGGAGAGCCAGGGAACGACTCGATAGACCATGGGAAGAGGGACAGCTCTTCCCTCGATGGCGGGTAAGGGAGCAGGCGAAAACTTCCATTGCGTCTCCCGCATTCGCCAACGGGAGGGATTAGCCGTCATAGAAACTCCAATTATGGCTCTTTCGAGGGGGCTGTGGGCTACGATTCTGACCCTGCAGCTAGATAATCGTGGAGCGCCATATGAGACGAAGTTCCCTAGAGATCTCAATTTCTCCCATCGAGGATTCTGACGCTCCCGTCGAAGCCTGCCGATCGCACTGGTCCTGCCTACAGCACGTTATGCGCAGGGAGGCATGATGCAAGAAATTTCCCTGATGGGCAGGTTCAAATACTCGATTTATGACACGTCGATATTGAATACCTCGAGGAGGATTTGGAGCATACCACAGCAAACGAAGCAAACAGTGGTACATTGAGTCGTCGACTCTCGAACGGTACAATCCTTAGCTCGTCGGGTCTGCGCAGATGCCGACGAAAGGCACAACGTTGTCTCCTGACAGAATCCAAAAGCAAAACGGTCTGTCTAAGCGGAGAGCGATCCGACGCGGGGGCGGACCTCGATTCGGTGCGCACCCTACCCTGCAGCCGATGAGCGTGGCAGCGGTAGCTTCGGTGGTTTTCTCGTTCACTTCAATCACCGCTTTGTGAATGATTTCGCTGACGAATGGCTCATCTTTCACCTGGATGGGAGACCAGAGACGGAAAACGTAGTAGCGAGCAATGTCGATACCTAGGTGGTCGACTTAGAGACGACCCCCATTTTCGAGTCTGTAACAATCTGAGGAAGCTCGAAAGAATTCTGAACTCACCTTGGAAAAAAGATTCCCCAGATCACACTCACCACGGATGAACATTTTGTTCACACCTAATCCCTTCAAGTTCTTCGGAAGGTCTTCGAAGTCGTACGCTATCTTGAACTTCGGCATTGTCAGGGCCACTATGGTTCCCGGCTGCTGTTCTACGCTTTCGATGGTCGAGGCCAACTCGGATATGGACATCCCGGCTATAACGTCGTCTGGAAACGGCTTTCACATATGACGGGATCGAGGGACGTCGGAGAGGAGAGTCTATGAAGACCATATCACGCGGAAACACCTCTTTCGCCAAGAGATTTACCCAGTTGCAATCAGTAAAAGCGGAATAGCGACGAAGTTATCTTCAGAATAGAGTTTGGAAAAGTCGACGCACCGATATGTTTCTCCTCATCCTTGGGAATGGCAGCAACCATGTAGACGTTCTGCTCCTCGTATGGAATCTTCGCGAGCCTGAGTGAATCGCTCTCTCCATATCCGAAGGAACTCGAACTCTTCATCATGAAGTTCGCCTTGATCACGTCACCGCTGCGTAGCTTGAAGTTCTCTTTTTCCCTCAGCGGACTGAACTCGTGGAGCCAGGTTGCTATGGTTCGAAGTCAGGAGCGAGTGAATCACAAATAGCTCTGAACTATTAACTTAGGATTTCCGATGAAGCTCCGATTACCTCTCGGTCGATCGGTGTCAAGAATACTCGACATTGAATGATCGGGCAAACTATTATATGGGAGGACCTCGGTGAAAGAATCCGGAGCGAACCTTTGAAATAAATCGCATTCAGGAGTACCAAGATGTGATCTGGCTTGAGGCTGTTCTCTGAGATCAATTTCGGTATCCTCTTATTGGTTTTATTCGCCACCCACGTGTTGATCTGGTCCTCTATTTCCTTCGCTGACCTGGTGAAATCCACTGAATCGATTTCAGCTTTATATTTGGTCTGGAACAGAGCATGCAATGATTGCATGAGCTCCAACCTGGGACACGCTCATGTTCTTCCTGAGAGATGATTATAATCTCCGTTCGAGCCCTGCACAGAGCGTCAGTCGAGAAGTCCCAAGGGGCAACTGACCTTTAGCGACGCTTCTGACTCTTCTCGGATGACACAACTTTTGTCGGCGAGAACTTTGTTCGCGATTTTAAATGGCGATTTATCGTCAGACAAGAGAGTTTCGAACGCAGAATGAAGCGAATTTTCATCGGATGCTTTCATGAAGTCCAAGAGTTCCTTTCTTGTTTTCCCTTTCATCCCAAGAAGGACCATTCCCAGGCAGGTTCCCAGACTGAGTGGCGAGATGACGAAATTCTTCCTCTCATCGCGGCAAAGCTTCTGCAGCAGCGAGGTGGCCAACGAATATTTGAAGTCATGTTCGCTACTTTTCTTCCTAGAGAGGAAACAAACGCGGGTCGATCACAAATAACAAGGATTGCCGTGACGTCATTGCTCGAACCTCGCGGCACTGGAGGATTCACTGGCTCTAATGACAAATCCTCCCCGAGCCAAGCCGCTCCTGAATTCTCCAGGTTCGAGCAATGAAGAACCGTTGAGGTACACCCATGGAAATCCAGGAACTACTGAGGCAGGTGCCCCACCTATACTCCCCAATTCTCCCAACTATGTCCGCAAGGCTACCAGGAATCGAGTCATTCCAATCCACACATCTGACCACTCACCACAAATTGAGGAACGCATCCATTGGAATTCTGAAGTGAATGCCCTCTCAGGCTCGGGTGGAATCCTTTTGAGTAGCCTCACAGCTCACAATGGACTCTGACTAGCGCACGCTGTGTAGCAACGACGAAGCATTAGCTCCTTAAGGACTCTCCGTCGACGCAGTGGAATGAGCTCTTTCAAGAATTACTCATAATCAAATTTTGGTACTGAGCCGACGCTCTTGACAGATTTATGGAGCGGAGCCGCGCCGATAGAGGATTCGACCGACCTACCCGGACTCAGTCCATTCTATCATAGCATCTTACGAATTCGTTTTCGTCCCGTAGCAGCTGAGCATTCTCAAAGGCGGTCTCTACAGGGGAGGCCGCGGCCGACGAGTCCGTGTCAAGTGACAACTGACACGGATGGCTTCCCTAGATCTGAATCCCGTAAGCCCGTACAGGATCATATACAGAAGCGGGGAGAAAATTCTCGATTCCGCGACAACTTTCAGTTGAAAACACGTCTTCCAGGTGCAAGCGGACCTGGGTTCTTCGGATCTAGTGACCGAACGCACTCGGAGCCGATTCGGCTCGTGAGGCCCAGAGCCCCTCTTCATCCTTCCGGTAGCCCAAGTGGATTTCTCTCACTGAGAGCGTCAAATACGCGATTCTGGGAGCATTTGAAAGCGTCGAGCTCCAGATGAGCCGGGAAACCAGGGATCGCTCCCCGAGCGGATCGAAGTGGATGCCTGAAATTGTAAGACTGCAACGAACGAACGGCATTCCAGAGAAACTGAAACCCCTGAAGAAAACGGTGCGCGGAATCCGGCCTCGATTCGATTCTGCGGAAAGCGTTCGAGCCGGCGATTTGGCACCTCTCAAGTGACTGATTAGAGCGGCACCAGCGTAGAGGACGGTCGGAGAATTCGATAGAGCGATTTAACTAACTCGTAATGGCATCCCAAGAGGCGACTTGCGGCCTCCCCTCTTCTAGTTGTTTTCTAGTGTTCCATCGAGTGTGGTTGCCACAAAGTTCATTCGGACGTTCCTTCTATTGAAATGTGCCGTATCCACTGCGGGGATCGCTACGGAGCGTGGCAAAACTCGTCGAAGGCCTCCTCTCCTAGTCTCGTCTATTGGCGATTGAGAGTTCGTGGCGCGCACGGAGAAGCATGGAGAAGCTTCGGGTACAAGTTCGCTGTTAGATTCAAGCGTGAGTTGAGCCGACTTTGTTTCGCAATAGCTCTGTCTAAATATATCCCCAACTCCACCTCGACGCTAACAGCCCTCCCACTGTAAGCGGGGAATTCAGTCGAGACTCTCAAGTTGAAGTGGCGAGTTTTTCAAGTGTCCTCCTGATGCTCTTCGATGGCACTGATCGACGCGATCGTCCCATCTCTGCGGAAGGTGAGCTACGATATTTCTTCTGCATCCGTTTTCCCTCTGTCTCCCCAGTCGTGAGCAATTCCCCATCATTCGGTGAGCCGCTTCTTATCTGGGACTGGTCTCTGATCTCGGCGCTCGATAGCAGGTTTTCGCTCATGATAATCGCTCGGAATCGACGGGAGTTGCAGATTCCTTTCTGGTAAATTCCCACGTTCCCTGCTTTACCGACTTTGTGCTGCGAGGCTCGAGAAAGCTCGAATCTGAGAATAAATAGGAGCGCGTCCGCGGCCTGTTCCTCAGTGTTGCGACTGGCGAGTGGAGGCGAGGGTGCTCCGCAGACTCTACGTGCCGGTTTGTGGGATCCCCACGAGCGGCGCCGACCGGGGTGCGGAATCTCTGAGGACTCTGAAGGGAGTTCCCCGATCTGTTTGAGTGTTAGCAACCCTGGTAGAAGTTCCGAAAAGCTATATTTCCCACAGGTCCACTTGATTCGTCGTTTCCTGATCAGCCGGATGGAGTCGCCAGTAATTGATTACTAATTGGTGCAACCTTCACTTCATTCGATTCCATTCTACAATCATGGCCGCACTGATGCGTGAAATGTAACGCCAAGCGCAGCTCATGGCGCTGCCGCGCGTCGAGAACACTGTCGTTCTCCATCTCATCTTCGTAGTCGCTTGTAAGGCACTCACGAGCGTAATTTATCTGGATGTTAATGTTAATCGGTTCTATGATCATCCGATCCTGAGTGAACTTACCGGATGTCGTCATCTCTTCCACAGTGGGTTTCGCCCTTTTCGCCTGCCGCGTTCTGATAGAGCCAACGAAAGCATGGGTTCCGTGCAGCGATCCCACAATAAGTTTCCCTTTCAAACCCGAAACTATTTCTACAACTCATATCATCGCTTACATCTGCCTCTTCCCTCCGCTAGTTGTGAGTCGCCACACGATTTGCTTTCGATCGCTAGCTCCTACGGGATGTGATTTCTTCGATTCATAATAATTCCCGATTTTCCTGCTCAGATTCTGATCATCGAGTTCCTGAGGTGGCGACTCGATGAAACGGATTGGTTCCCGGTGGGAGCGTGCACCCTCTTCGGATTGCGCGTTCCCAAACTGGTCCAATGTTTATATCTGAGCATTGGGAACTTTCTTTATGGCTCCGCGCTGACGATGATTACCGTAGAATTCGGCAAGAAGACCGTCGGACGTCTGCGACCTCATTTTTTCGAAGCTTGTAAAGCCACGAACCTGCAAGAAATTTGCGATCCCAGCAGACTGAATCAGTTCGTCTATGACGTCAAGTGCTCCAACCTGAAAAATGAGATCACGGCTAGGTGAGTCAGAGCTCTGTCTGAGCTGCGCTGTCCGAGTCTCCGTCATACCCCGCCCTAACTCGATAAGAAGAATCGTGAACGTTCCAGAGAGTCCTTCCCGTCGGCACATTCCGCTGCCACTTTCTATATCGCGGTTTTCCTTCTGGTAAGTCAGTCGGGAATCCTCCCTCGTTCGGGTTCAATTCTCCTCGTACGGGAAAGGGGAATCGCCGCAGGAATTTTCTACAGATCGTTCTCCAATGTGTACAATCTATCCCAGTTCTACCTACAAAGTCGGATGTCATGGCCCTCGAATCTTCTTCCGATTCTTCGACCCACGGTCCAGATGATCTTCGTTCAGATCGCATTCGTCGTAGGTCTGACGCGAGTGCGAGATCATTATCACCACTACTCCGATGTCGCGGTCGGAGCTCTCATCGGGACAATTTGCGCCATCATCACAGTGAGTGAGCTTTCCGCGAAGCTGCGAAACTTCGTAATCTAAGCACATACGATACTGTAGAATCGCAACTCACCGTTTCTCGGGGATCTCACGTAAATGAACCTCGTTTGTAGGTCTTCTACATGTCCCCACTTATGGGCAGCTGCTCAACCTGCCGGACCAGAACGAGGAGCAGAGTTTTGGGATCTGCCACTGCCGCTGCCAGCGATCAGTCTTCAGTATCGAGTGAAGCCCCTTCGTCCCACGCCGCGTCGAAGAAAGAGCCACACTCGGTAATCGTTGAAAAAATCGAATTGCGCTGACACTACGACACCGGCGATGCGGTCACCAAGGCTCTCCGCCCATCGTCGGTCACTCAATCTGTGCCAGTCAAAGCGCCGGAGCCCAACACTGTCGAACGCCGCGGCGTCTCAATGGTTTGAGCGCTCGTCGCACACGATCGGTGATTACGAAGCAGCGTCTTCGAAATGCCAGATGGGGGCTTCGATTCCGATCATCTCCTCGGTCAGCGGTCGCAGAACATTCAAGGAAATTTCTTCTCCAGGAAATGTCTTTTGAAGCGAGACACTCGACGGGGTTGGACGTCAGGACTCTAAGACTCCCTTCCCGTCTCGGAATGGATCCGGGAGGGAGGAAAGATATTTCAAATGCTTGTTGAAGCATCCTCACAGGAAGAAATCAGCCAGGAAAGCTGCCGACTGCGCCGTCGGTGTCCTCTTAGTCGTACGAGACCAGCTTAAGTAACGTGTTGGAGTGCCGTGCCCTGCAGCCTTTGAATAAAAACTACAAAACCGGAACAGACAGTGGTATTTTCCCCGGTGAGACGAGAAAAAGCTGATATCATGGATTCTCAACCTACGATTCTCAACAACGTCGAAGTCTCTTACGATTTTCTCGACCTGCGCGAGTGCTGTATCGTCTCAAAACTTTCTGTTTGTTTTAGCCCATTCTACACTAATCGATTCGTAGAGGAATATCACATATATCCTGAATGATTCTCCTACTCCAGGGTGGGAACGTAAGATTCGGGAGCGTAAGATTAACGAGAATACAGCGGGGTGCCGGTAAACGAATGCCTCGGAGAACGAACTTCCTCACGCATATTTCTGGAAAGAATCAAAGCAGATCTCACAGTTCCGAGGACTTCCGAATTCCCTGTTTCTTTCCGCTGGCACGTCGACGTAGATGTACGATGCAATCTAGATGCCTGTTTTCCATTCGAGACAAATCTCAATCGTTGCTCCGCTTGAGTGACGTTTCACCCAGCCTCATTACACACTTCATCCGAGATCGAATTTCCGCCCTTCGCGCAAGCTCCCCGGGATAGATTATTCTAGGTCTACAATGCAGAATCCCCGATTCGTCTCATTGTTGCTATGATATCACTCCTGGCGCTTCCTCCACTTGCGAGAGTTGCCTCAATGGCTCAGTCACAACAGAGATCCCCTGGAGCTTCAGAGGTAGGCTGGGGGTGGGACTCCGTACGCATTAGACTCACCCTCGCTCGAGCTAATCAAAGTACGCTCGTGCTCGAGCAAGTTCCTTTCATACGTCTGGGCGAGGTCGTTCAAGCATCTATTCACTCCGTGATGCATTATCCTCGTGAAGCAACAACTCGCTCGAAGGAGAGAACGCGACCGTGGCTCGGGCTTCTGACGTCGACCACTTCAAATCATCTCACTCGAAATCGATCCATTTGGTTTACTTTCTCGCTTGACACTCGGAATGCGGAATCGGATGATACGAAGGAATCGAATCGGAGAATCTTTGAGGGGAGAAATATTTATTATCTGTGCTCTGGAAAGCGGAGAGAAGTCATAGAATTCGATCAATCCTGAGTTTTGCAGCGATCTGCCACCGTGTCGAAGCTTTTCCAAATGGCTATCAAGCCCAGGGAGAGGCTCCCGGATTTCGCGAGCATGCCATCGAGACCTAGGACAGCATGGGACGTGTTCTTCCGCATCGTTTGCTTATTCCACGGTCTACAGTATGGTGCCTCGAGGAAACGCTGGCTGGACCCGATCTTACTCGCCTATTGGATTTTCCAACTCGTCTCGTGGACCTATGTGGTACCCATGACCGCGAGCGCCAGGTTTTCCGGACAGGGAGAAGGTAGCAGTCTTTGCGAGATTATACTCATGAGCAATGCTCTCGTCTATTCTGCGACTGCCATCTACGCGGGCTTCAGAGTGATGTTCCACCGGGTTCAGTGTGAGCTTTTGCTGCAAGGGAACGGTCGAAGCATTAGAGACTTCGGCCTGAATGCCGCATGCTTCCTCATGGTCATCATTCTGCAAGTTCGGAGACTGAGAGGAGAGAATCCCCTGAACACCTGCATCCGGCTGCTCCGACTCGTGCTCAACATAAGCTTCCAGGCATTCTTCCTTATCTACGCGGACATTATTTCCGGAATGATTAACAATCAGCAGAGCCTAACGCGATTGGTGGTTTCGGATAATATAAACCATCACGAGATGATCGCGAGAAAATGGAGGCTTCGGAACAAGATTTCGATCGCCAACCGAATCTTCGCCCAAATTCTGTCGTTGATATATGTACTGCGCTTCATCACGGTCATCCATTTGCTCTACGCCACGATCATTCTCGAGCGAAGCTCGTGCGAGAAGATGATCTTGTATCTGAAGATCGGCCTTCAGCTTCTGCAAGAATTCTTCCTAGCCCGACAGTGTTCCGCTCTGAGGTCCTGCTGTATAGAGACCGAGCGGATGCTTTTGATGCGCAAGGGAAGTATTGGGTTGAGCAGCAGATCCTACTCCGATGTCTCTGCGGTGATACGATTCGTAGAGGAATGGGATTGCTTGAAAATAGGTTACTTCGCACACAATGCCGAGAACTACCTCAAATTCTTGGCGACAGGCTTGACGTGTGCAGCCATCGCTCACCAGTTCGATTACAAAATCCTCCGCAAACTGACAGCCCTGAGTGAGAACACGATCCACTGAACTCGTTGGAGTGGGCACGAAAGCCTCGTGCGGGAGATCTGCGCCGATGATCTCCTGAAAGAGATATCGGCTGTCGAGTGCAAATGGACGATGGCGAGTCTCCCAATGAATTTAATCGAACAATTCCTAAAAGGAATGTTAGACAAAACCCTGCGGGAAGCGATTCTTTTCAAGTGCGAGTCATAGAAATTCAGCAAACTGGAAGAAGTGATAAAGGAAGCACAAGTGCTCTCCTCGATCCGGAATCAAAATGCGACGACCATTAATGAGAACAATTACCAAGAAAAACACCGAGAACCGTCTTCGGAGGAAAACTTCCGTCAAAGGTTCGACAGGAATCAGGATCCGAAGCCATCATCATCCGACGAGATTGCATGTTATCGGTGTGGAAATCCGTCGCATCTAGTTAACTCCTGCAAGCACAAGTCATCTCGTTGCTCTGGCTGCAATAAAACCGGGCATTCGAGAGCGGCCTGCAGAAACGCTCAACAAAAAGTGAATCTACTACGCGACGAGACATCCTATCCGGTTCGTGCGGAATCCAGCAGAGCTCCGGTCCTAGTCACATTACAAATCGAGGGTCGCGGCGTCACCATGGGAGCCGACACGGGAACAGCGGTCACAACGATGCCGAGGTCGAAATCCGGAGGACTTTGGCCCCTGAGGAAACTTGAAGAAAACGACGTCCGCCTACATCCAGCGAGTGGGAATTCATATGAGCCGGCAGGTTATGTTGAACTCAGCGTCAGTTACGCTGGAGTGAGACGGAAACTCCGACTCTATGTCATCAATCGAGACGACTTTCCCTCGCTGATAGGTCGTGACTGGCTTTCGGCCTTGCCGATCGACTGGACAAGATCGGTTCAAGCGGTTGGAATTTCTCAGGACTGAGAGCAAGGAATGGCCAGTCGAAAGAAGCAGTGCATCACGTACAAGCCATCGACTTCGAAGTTGCAGCTAAAGCTTCGTTGGGGGAAATCCAAAATTACAACTTTACTTACAACTCAGAAACCAACTGCAATTTATGTTCGCCCTCGCCCAATTGCGCATGCGATTATCGACATCAAGGATGAAGAGCTCGATTTCCTCGAGGAGAATCTCGTCATTCAGAAAGTGAACACCAGCAAATGGACACACCCCATGGTTGTGGTCCCTCGCGCAAAAGGCAAGAAAGTACGTATTTGTGGAGACATTTAAAGATGCATAAACCGATTCATAAGGATCGACGATCACCTCTTAAAGAACATTCGACACGCCCTCGATAACATTGGCAACGGGCGGAAATTCTCGAAGTTGGACATGGCGTCCGCGTTTCTCCACAAGCCAATCCGGAGAGCAAATCGTAAATACCTCGTCGTGATTCAACCGGTTGACCAACGGGCTTTGCAATACACCAGCCATTTGGCAAAGATTCATTGAGGGTGTACTCGCTGGAATCGACGGAGCTGAGGTCGTAATGGACGACATAATCATGTCTGGCTTAAGAGATGAAGAGCACCTGGATAGACTGGGAAAGGTCTTCTCTCGACTGAACGGACAGGATATCCGAATCCTGAGGAATGTGAATTCTTCAAGGAAGCAGTAACATGTTGCGGATTCGTACTCAAGCACCAGCAGATCTACAAATGCGATAATAAAATCCGCTCGATCAAAGAGGCAAGCTTTGCGCATAAATTGGGAGACTTGGCGAATCCGCTGTACCGGTCGCCGCTTCGCGGCGACTCGGTATCGCTACACTCACTACACATGCGCTGGCTCCGAGTGCGCTGGCTCCGGGTGCGCTGGCTCCGGGTGCGCTTGCTTTGGGCGCGCGTGCTCTGGGTGCGCGTCCCGTTTCCCTGCTTTCCCGTTTCCCTGCTTTCCCGTTTCCCTGCTTTCCCGTTTCCCTGCTTTCCCGTTTCCCTGCTTTCCCGTTTCCCTGCTTTCCCGTTTCCCTGCTTTCCCGTTCCCCTGCTTTCCCGTTCCCCTGCT